CTCAGAGTCCTTTGGGTGTCTAGGTCATAGAAGTACAGTGGGTTATATGGCACTTCTACTTTAGTTTTTTGAGGAACCTCATTGAGTTCCATAGTGGCTGCATGAGTGTATAATACTATCAGAGACATGTGTTCTTTCCTTACATTATAATGATGGCCATTCATAGACTTTGGCATATGGAATCTCAATGTAGTTTGTGCATTTTCCTGATGGTTAAGGCTGTTGGATTTTTTGTGTAATCAGCCATTTGTATATCTTTGAAGGAAAAGATACATCGTTTATTGTGTGTGCATGTATGCATGCCAGGGCAAATGAAGAGGTTGGGGGACAACTTTTAGGAGTGAGATCCCTCTTTCTATACCATGTGAGTCCCAAGAATGAAATTCAGGTTATCAGGCTTGATGGCATGACCTTTACTCACTTTTTTTTTTCCGAGACAGGGTTTCTCTGTGTCTTTGGAGCCTGTCCTGGAACTAGCTCTTGTAGACCAGGCTGGCCTCGAATTCACAGAGATCCTCCTGCCTGCCTCTGCCTCCAGACTGCTGGGATTAAAGGCATGGGCCACCACTGCCCAGCCATTTATCTTAATTTTAAAGAAAGAATACGGCTGTTTGAATTGTTCAGTGAGCCGGGTGGTAGAGGCGCATGCCTTTAATACCAGCTACAGAGAAGCCAAACCCTGTCTCGAAAAACCAAAAAAAGAAAAATATTTATGTGTTTTTTTCCAAGTCCATGCACCATGTGCATGTAGTGCCCATAGAGGCCATTAGAGGACATCAGATCAGTTGTAGATGGTTAGAGCTGCCCTTGAATACCAGAAATCGATGTCCAGTCCACTGAAAGGGCAGCTTGCTTTCTTAATTGCTGAGTCATCCTTCTATTTTTTTTAAGAAATGTCTGCTAAGTTATTGACTGGATTATTCAACGTTTGTATTCTTTTATTTGGTATTTTTACTAGCATATATTAACTACACATAATGATGTATTTATTGATAGATTCTAGATACTAACTCCATGTTAAATATATAGTTGGCAAAGATGTCTATCCCCATTTTGTAGGCTGTCACTTCACTCTTATTGCTTCTTTTGCTGCTCCGCAGGTTTTTAATCACATGCAATTCTTTTTTTTTAAATCAATTCCTACAACCATTTACTGAGCTGTTAAGAGTTATTTTCAGAAGTACCTAGGACTTATTTTCTATTGTCTGTCCCCCACTATTGAAGTACAAATTTCTCAAGGGCAGTGATTTCAGTTATTGAAATACCTAGAATAGTGGCAGTTAGTAAATTATCAATAAATCTTTGCTGAACAAACCATAAGTTCCAACTATGTGTTGTCAAAATGGAGGCAAGGATGGATCTAAGTCTCTGCAGTTTAGTGATCATTAATATTATTTACATAGGCAAGCTTAGTACTAAGTGCCTGAAATGTGTTATTTTTAAAGATTTATTTATTATGTATACAGTATTTTGTCTACATGCATGCCTGCATGCCAGAAGAGGACACCAAATCTCATTACAGATGGCTGAGAGCTACCATGTGGGTGCTGGGAATTGAACTCAGAACCTCTGGAAGAGCAGTCAGTGCTCTTAACCTCTGAGCCATCTCTTCAGTCCATCTGAAATGTTTTATTTAAAGAAAGTTGTTAAGAGTTTAAAAATTGGGGCTGGAGAGATAGCTCAGAGGTTAAGAACATTGGCTGCTATTCCAGAGGTCCTGAGTTCTATTCCCAGCAACCATATGTTGGCTCATAACCATCTACAATGAGACATGGTGCCGCCTTCTGGTATGCAGGCACGGACCCTGTAGACATAATAAATAAATAAAATCTATAAAATAAAGAGTTTAAAACTTAAGAATTGGTTTTCCATTAATACTACTAAAACAAAATGCTCTATAAATAGAGTGGAAAGATGGTAACTGACAAAAACAATTCCTTTAGTTAGGTACATAAATAAAAGTCCTGTGTATCACCACGGTCACTATTTCAAAATAAGTCAATCCCAAAAGATTTTAAAATACATTGTTGGCAGGTATCAGTATGAAAACCTAGCCTAATGATTCAACTTTTTTTTTCTGAGACAGGGTTTCTCGCTGGCCTTGAATTTACAGAGATCTGCCTGCCTGTGCCTCTGGAGTGCTGGGATTGAAGGCATGTGCAAAAACTGTCTGGCTTATGTATTCAATTCTTAATTATGACTACAAAGGATATACTACATAACCACTTGAACTGGCTTTTAGAGTGTTTCAAAGTATGCTCATATAGATCTGACTTCAAATTAAATCAAAAGAAACAAACAAAGAAACAAACAAATAATGAACAAAACCCCTCATAATTGAATCAGTACTTCAGACCCAGATTCCTTTCACCATAATTAAGAAAGTAATAATATTCCTTTCACCATAATTAAGAAGTCATTTGTTAGCTTTAAAAATGACTGGAGAATGACTCTGCGGTTAAGAGCACTGGCCGCTCTTCCAAAAGAGCAATTCTTAGCAACTGCATGGTGGCTCACAACCATCTATAGTGAGATCTGGTGCTCTCTTCTGGCATGCAGGCAGAACACTGTATACACAAATAAATAAATCCTTAATTTTTTTAAAGTACAGGTATGGTGCTGCATGACTTTAAACTTCAATCAAGAGGCCGAGGCAGGTGGAACTCTGTGAGTTCAATGTCAGCTTGGTCTAAACAGCAAGTTCTAGGACAGCCAAGGCTAAACGGAAAGATTCTACATCAAAACTTTAAAAGAAACTTTATTTTATGTATATGGGTATTTGGCCTACATGTAAAATAGTTCAAATTAACTGGGAGGTGGTGGCACACACCTTTAATCCCAGCACTCGGGAGGCAGAGTCAGGAGGATCTCTGTGAATTCGAGGCCAGCCTGGTCTACAAGAGCTAATTCCAGGACAGGCTCTAAAACTACAGAGAAACTCTGTCTCAGAAAAAAAACCCACCCTAAATTAGTGAGCTTTTAAGTATGCTTAAGGAAGCAGCACAAGATATACTCTGTAGATAAAGATCTTAGTCTATAGGCAAAGCAGGCAGGCTTCCATGTGAAAAGGAAAACAATTTTTGTTATATGATACAATCTATAGGTTTTTATAGCAACTTATTATAAAATAATTCCTAAGAGTGTTTAACAATACAAATTTTATTAAAAAAATAAGTAACACCAAAACTGTTCAGAAAATCTAGATTCAATGTAAACCAAAATAAACAAACACCAAAATAAAAAAATATACATCTCTCTCTATATATATGTGGGCAAGAAACAAGTGCATTTTTTGGTCCCAATATTATTGAATATATTATCTTTATCTAAAGGAATTACATTAATGGCTAAGAAGGTAATTGCTAATTGAATAGCAATGTAAAACTTGTAATATTTGTAAGGGGAGTTTTTGTTCCTTTGTCTTTTAATTCCTGACTGCTAAGATGTTCATGATAGTCTCAAGATAGACAGATCATATATTAATGTCTAATGACCTGAACAAGGACCTCACATGCCTTTAAAAGCAGCACTTGGGAGGCTGAGGCAGAAAAATCTGTGAGTTCAAGGTCAGCCTGGACTATAGTAGAAACCGTGGCTCAAAAAACAAACAAACAAACAAACAAACAAACAAAAAACCTCCAAAAAAGAAAGAAAAAAAGAAAAGAAACTACCAACAGGTAGCTGTATGAAATCTGTAAAAAATTTTAAAGAAATTTCTTGGCATTTTTAACAAACACAAAAAGTTTAATCAGAAATTACAAAAGTTAACATACAAAGTAGACATCAATAAATTTGGTGAATGACAAAAACCAAGCTATCAAAATTTTAAAAAATTAGGAATTTAAATAGTATCACTGCTGAGAACTCTTGGAATATTGGCTAAAACTTTAAATGACAACACAAAAAATTATTTTGGAGCTAGAACTCCACAAAGTTTGCTTTTCCAAGAACATGAAAGTAATTTTCACTCCCTATACAATCAGGTTTTTCATATACCTCAGACTGTATTCATGCTAGAGGAAGATTAAAGGACTGCAGCCAAAGTGATTAAAGTTGAACTTGGGTGTTAAAGCACTTACTTGGTAGGCTTTCATTATTATAATCGTTCATAAGCCTAAAAAGTACCAAAGCCCCCAGTAGGAAGCTGTGTTCATTTTGGTGGACCTTGAGGTTGTTGATGGCCAAATCAACATCAGCCTTATGTAAGGCTAGTTAGGCAGGAAGGGACTCTGCCTAAGAACTGATAGATTCCCAAGGCCACAAATTGAAACAGGTCTCACAGTCAAACAATTCACATTCCATGGAAAGAAAAACAGGCATTAGTTGTGTCCATCGAAGGGGGACACTGTCCAGGAGTATACTGGACATCTTTTGAAATTTCTGTGTCGCTTCTGCATCTGAAAAATAGAACAATGACAGACAAAGAATGAAGGAAAAAGCAGCTGAGCAGCAAGACTTAAAAAAAATTAAGAAGCAGACAAAACAGAAAAAAAGAAATAGAATAGCTATACTGTTTGATATGTAATATTCTGAAGGCAGAGAGAAATACAAATTATCTGAAGCAAAGAAACACAAATTATCTGAAGCAAAGCAAGTAAAGACAATAGCAACTAAAGTTTTTTTTTTTTCAGAGCTAACTAGAGAAGCCAAGTACAGGTTAAGATAAGGTGGAATAAGAATCTACTGCCATCAGAAAGCTGAAAAAATGCGAACTAGTGTTGTGGATTTTAACTGCCTTTATGGAACATTTCAGAACTTTGCACTTAGGAAACTGGATTTGCAAAGGCAAACACTGCAGAACTTTGAACTTAGGAAATTCCAACTTGTCTTGCACCAGGTTGCATGAGTTCCATAGAGCAGGAATCTATTTCAACAAGCCGCTTTAAAACAAAAACAAAAATAAAATACTTTAATATTTTTCATTTCTGTTAATGATACATTTAAAAATTGCAACAGTAATAAAATCTATCAAAGTAAATTGTGCTGAATGAAAATTAAACTTACTCAGAAGTGGATTCATAAGTTAAGCTTCTTTCTGTAACTGAAATCACAGAGGGCTTTATGTTTACAAATGGAATACACATAGATGGAGTATCAATTTAATTTGTAAGAGCTCACAATGTGGCTCATATATCATAAATTCAAAGTAATAGACACATGTACATACCATTTTCGATTACTACTTGGCAAGTATGAGTTTTACGTTGATTTAAGTGCTTAGCCATACGGTCTAAGCCAGAAGTATCAGCTAGGAAGTCACATTTAAGGCACACTAGAGTTATGCCCCTATGGAAAGAGAAAAGACTAATAAGACAGATTATATATGGCAATACATACATAAATTCAGTAACTGCTGTTCCATGTAATTACTCTTGATTTTTATTTTATGTGCTATCACTGTTGTTTTCCAATTTTGTTATAAATATATATAATATTCTCTTCAAAGGGTTGGGTTGTAGGCAGTATTTGCCTCCCATGTGCAAAGCTCTAGATTTAATCACTGGCCCTGAAAAGAAAAAAAAATGATTCTAAGAATCTGACCTAAGGCTGGAGAGATGGCTCAGAGGGTAAGAGCATTGGCTGCTCTTCCAGAGGTCCTGAGTTCAATTCCCAGCAACAACATGGTAGCTCACAACCATCTGTAATGAGATCTGGTGCCCACTTCTGGTGCACAGGCGTACAAGCAGACAGAACACTATATATAATAAATAAATAAACAGGGCAGGAAACCCTGACTGCTCTTTGGACTGGAGAGGAAGGGGGAATAGGAGGTGAAAATTTGTAATAATAATAATAATAAAAAGAAAAAAAATCTGGCCTAGCCATAGGTAAATTATGATATCATTTAGTGCTTTATAAATTGCTCTCAATCTGTTGCTAAAATATTGGCATCCAGAGACCCAAAGCAGCCTTGGATCCACTAGCAATTTGTATAACTTGTGTAAATCACAGTGATTCCATGCTTTGGTTTATCTGCCAAGCAAGAAGATACATTTATTCAAAATATATCTTGTTTGCTTCTTGCATGTCTTCATGAGAGATGGATATACACCTGAACAAAACACAGCACTATTTTCACACAAAACTGAGCAAAAGATCTCTAAGTAAGATATATAAATAGACAAGAGGTCTGAAAAAGATTTCAAACTCATTAGCCATCAAAGAAATAGAAATGAATATCACAATGAGATATCATCTGACTCAAGTCTGAAGGGCTTGTATCAATAGACAAAACGTATGCTGGCGAAGATAATGGAGAGAGATCTCTTATACAGTGCTGTTAGAAGTATACGTTTGTAATATTATGGAAAACAGAATAGAGTCTCTTTAAAAACTAAAAATAAGCCCTAGGATATCCTCTATACATCAAATTAGTAGGCATTTTGTATACAACAGCAAACAAAACAGTACAGTTTATAAAGCATATAAGCTACTGTATTTAAATCTGAATAAAGTTAGGAGAGATGTGAAAGCCTTTAATTTAGTCATTTAATATAATTATTAGTTTATCAACAAAGCATATACATACTTGGTATTTTAGTTATGTTTTGTTTGCTTTGAGACAGGGTCTCACTAATAGCCCAGTGGATCCTAACTTGGGATGCTCCTGCCTCCCTTCCCCAGTGCTGGAATTATAGGTGTGAGCCACCACAACCACTTCATCATACAAAACACCTTACCTTTATATGTCTAAAACCCAGTAGTATACCTTATGCTGATTTTTTTTCTCTGCAGCTCTTGTCTTAACATCCTGTTTTATAGTCAAGACTAGGTGTTAGACACATAAAAAAGTGTCCTTTAACAACCAAAATTTGTTTTTCCTCCCCCAAACCACCCTTTATTCCTGGTTTCTCTTATGATGTCATTTCCTTGCTTCTAAGGTTCAAATAAAAATATTTTAGTATTTCAAATATCTAATATTTAATAACAATTTCAAATATCATTTACATTATACAAAACTGGGGATTTTAAGACCTATCTCTTCGAAACAAATAACCTCTAAAAGACAGGTGTTATAATGACCAATTGTCTAAAGAGGACAGGATCAGATTTAATAACTTACCTAAGGCTAGACCCATATTTGAAAATTAGCGCTTTGATTCAGAAACCTACTTTCTGTCCCTTTTCTTTTAAATAGCCCATAAGCTTTGTTTAAGATTTTAATTTAATTATCTTTTTTTAAACAAATGGGCTTCCTTTTAAAAAAATATAATTTATTTTTATGTTCATTGGTGTTTTGCCTGCATGCGTGTCTGTGGGAAAGTGTCAGATCCCTGGAATTAGAGTTACAGACAATTTTGAGCTGACATGTGGGTGCTCTTAACCACTGAGCCATCTCACTAGCCCTTCTGGTTCTTTCTTTTGGAATTTTTTTTAAAAGATACACTATTTTATTTTCTGTGTATAAGTGTTTTGACTACATGTATGTATGTATACCAACCACATCCATGCCTGGTGCCCAGGGAAGTTAGAACGTAAGATTCCCCAGAAAGTAGAATTATGGATGGTTTTAAGCCACCACGTGAGTGTTGGGAACTGGAACTAGAACTTCTGCAAGAGCAACAAGCGCTTTTGACCACATCAGCATCTCTTTAGTTCCAGCCCAATCAATTACTAAACAACAGCCGTAACTACTCTGTGGTTTATGCAGCTACAACTCACCATGTATACTCCTGCAAACTGATCTTCCTTTCATACCCTTGATTCGACTCAAAGCATTGGTTTTGATTTTCTCAATGTCTTTCAAAGTAAAATTAATTCTTAATTCCTTAGAACTATTTTTTTGGATTTAAAAATTCTGTCTCTAAACTCAAAATTATTATTTCACCATATACGTGAACTTTGTCATCCATTCAAACTGTACTACTAGTTATTCAATGTGACTTAGAAGCACTTACATACTTCTTTTTGTTTCTACACTTCAAGTCATGCTTTCTTCTTCATGCATCTTTTAAGTAGAAACCTCTGGTCATCTCTGAAATAAGTAACTCACTGTATTTATGACAAATTTCCTGATTCTGCTGTACTAACTTATTTTTACTTCTTATATCCTTCCAATAAATTGTTTTGAGACAGGGCTTCACTATGTAGCTCTTGCTATCCCGGAACTTACAGAGATCCTCCTGCCTCTGCCTCCCAAGTGCCGGGACTAAAGGCATGTTCTACCATACCCAGCTTAAATTGTACCTTCTAGAAAGTTGGTACCAAGCCTTCTTCATCATTGATCTGTACATGACTTAACACTTTGTGTTACATGTGACAGATGAACAATAAATAGCTAAAGGAACAATTCAACATAAAATAATATTTAAAAAAATCCATTTTAGATTTACAAATATTTCTAGTAATGGCACTATCTAATATTCTTTCTTTTTCTAATTATTATTAATTGTTGTTACTTTGAGACAGGTAAGAGGTTGGGTTGGAACTTGGTATGTAGATCAGACTGGCCTTGACATCACTATCCTTCTATCTTAGTCTCCTTAGTGCTAGGGCCCTAGGCATTCTTTCCCAAATGCTACAATATATATACTTTAAGACTGTATTTTAATTATGTGCATGGGGGAGTATGTGTATACATGTATGCATTGCCTGAAGAGGCCAGAAGATTTCTGGATCCCCTGGAGCTGGAGTTACAGGCTTTTGATATGACATGCTTGACATGGGTACTGGGGATTAAACTCTAATCATCTGCAAGAGCAGCAAGTACTCTTAAATCATGACCCACCTCTCCAGGTCTTATTTTTGTTTTTGAGAAAGGGTTTTCTCTGTGTATCTTTGGCTGTCCTGGAACTCACTTTGTAGACCAGGCCGGCCTCAAACTCAGAGATTTGCCTGCTTCTGCCTACCGAGTGTTGGGATTAAAGGTATGAGCCACCATGCCCTGCCTGATTTTTAATGGCATCAAACTTTCTTTTATGAGCTACTGACCTAATATTACAGATGTATATTTTTAATACACATTGTAATTTAACTAAGTATCTATTATGTGCAAGGCACATTCAATGTCTTGACAACATGAATGAGATAATTAAAAAAAATTGAGTAAAAAACCTGCAGAAGAATGAGAAAAGTCCCATAATACTTAGTTGACTCTGAGCAAATATCTTTATAAGCAGTAACCAAACATTCTTTCTGTATAGTATAAAAAGCCATATACTTTTTTTTTCATAAAAGAGTAAAAGTGAGAGGTTGGAGGGATGGCTCAGTTAAGAGCAGTGGCTGCTCTTGCAGAAAACCAAAATTGATTCTCAGAACATACATGGTGGTTCACAACCAACTGAAACTCCTGTTTCAGGGGATCCAATTCTCTCTTCTGGCTTCCACGGGCTCCAGGCAATTATGCGGTGCACAGATATAGATACAGGCAAGATACCCATACATAATAAAGTATATTCAAAAAAGAATAAAACTGAGCTTTATAAATAATATATATTAATTTCAAATATTATAGCATTTAAATAAACTTATTCCCAATCAAGTATTGCTAAAGAGACTTTTATTTTCATTTTACAGAGTAAATTCATGAAAGTTTCAATTCAATATCTGGTACCAATGAAACAGAAGTTAGTCATATGATAGGCTAGCCCTTTCTTTGTTCTAAGAATATAACAAACATAATTCTATCATATCCAGTGACAATTGTTTAGAATTTCAAATTAGGTATACCAACATCTGGCTAAAAAATATAATTTCACCTCTTTAATGCAAAGTACAGAAAAAGATCAATTAATTACCTGAGAGCTCTTGAATGCTTCTTAAAAATATAAAGCTGTTTACTTGGGTGGTCACTATGAGAGCTGGTAGATAAAAGACAAACAAGAATTTATTACTTTTATTACTAAATAAGTCATTAATTTTATTTTCATATTTTCAAGTCTATGTTTAATTTCTTAATTTTGAATAGAAGTTAATGACAGAAATAATGAGATTATATTGATCCTGGTATGGTCTGAGCAAGGGCTCACCCATTAATATATCAAAATCCTAACCTCCCCTTTATCTCAATCAATGTGATGGCATTAGAAGAAACCATTTAAGAGATAATTAGGTCACAAAAGTAGAATCCTCACACATAGGATTTGTGTCCCTTATAGGAAGAGACCTAAGAGCTAGTTTGTTCCCTCCATTGTACAACATAGTAAGAAGGTATTATGAGGGATTGGCCTTCACCAGAACACTTGTTCTTGTTGGTACCTCTTATTTTTCTCATTTCATTTCTTTCCTTTTTCTTCCCTTTACTTTTTATTCTTTTTTTTAAGATTCCTTTTCTTATTATTTAAAGGAGTAAACCATAAGATGCAACTAGATATACTTTCCATTTACTCTACTTTTTGTAGTGTGTGTGTGTATACATGTACATATGTAGAGGTCAAAAAAAACCTCTGGAATTGATTCTTTTTATCTCTATATGGGTTCTATGAATTGAAATCAGATAATCAGACTTGCATTGTTGGGAGGTATGTACCTTTATTCGCTGGCCCAGTTTCCCATTTATTGTAAATGTTCTTACCAGTTAAATGAAATTTAGTTAGATGTTTATTTGCTATTGAAATATTATAATTTTATATTGGTAACATTTATATGTAAAGAGATATTAATAATTAGAAGTTAATGTAAACTATATGAGCATCTAAATAATGCACTTTTCAACTCTTCCTGTAATTAAGTAAATAATTGATTTCATCTAATTAATTCTCTTTATCTCTAATACAGGGATAATACTAACTCTCTTGTCTTGTTGGATTGCTGACTGGATAAATTAGAATGTATAAAAAAGGACATGGATATTATTATTACTACCACTGTATTACAATATGGAAAATGAGAGCTTTGCAATGTTTATATTAGTATTCTCTATGTTTAGTCTCAACACGGGATAAGTGGGTTGCAAGAAGTTACACTGAAATGCTTTTCTTACTCTAGATGTTCACAGCAATTGCTCTGTATTATTTTAGGTAATTCTAATAGCAGATACACTCACAAAAGTATGTGCTAAAAGCCAAACATGAAAGCTTGGGAATAATTTAATTTTGGATTATCCATTCATGTGCCAGACCAAATATTCGGGAGCAAACTTTACATAAAGAAACCAGAGAAAAAATATGGTGAACTAACATAGAGAACTAAATTTATAGTCAAATGTATGTTTATTCACTGAAAACGGTGATGTTGGGGCTAGAGATGGCTCAGTGGTTAAGAGCATTGACTGCACTTCCAGAGGTCCTCCTGAGTTCAATTCCAGCAACCACACGGTGGCTCATAACCATCTGTAATGAGATATGGCGCCCTCTTCTGGCCTGCAGGCATATATGCAGACAGAACACTGTATACATGAAAAATAAACCTTAAAAAAACAGTAATGTCATTCAGGAAAAGAACCTGTTTCTCTGTAAGTAGATTCAGTAATATCAACTTCAACACCATAATATTCAAGTTGCTATGATAGATGCTTGGACTACAAAGATAAATTAAATGTGACTCCCAGTCTCAAATGCGTTGTAGTCTAGCAGTAGAGACATGTAATAAATAAAAAGCCTACAGAACAGTACAACCACTTAGTGACTCAGCCTACAACAAAGTAATATCACTTCAACAAGGCACCTGTCAATCAACTCGAACAACAGTCAGAAGTTTTACTTTTCAAGAATAAGAATGATGAAACCTGGCTGAAGAGATAAAATACTCAGCAGTTCTTAACACTTGATACTCTTGCAGAGTGCCTGAGTTTGTTTTCCAGAATCCATAATCCATGTAGGGTGGCAGCTCACTGCTTGCAACCCCAGGGTATCTGATGCCTTTCTACAGGTACTAATATAACACACACTCACACACTAAAAAATGTAACAAAATTTTAACTTTAGTTCTTAATAAAAGTAGGCAATATTTTTATATTATATTCAATACCCAGACAGGAGTTTTTTTTCCCTTTCTTTATTCCCCCACCCCTTTTCTGAGACAGAGTCACGCTGTTCTGGAACTCACTATGTAGATCAGGTTATCTTTGAACTCAGACCCACCTGCTTCTTCCGCATACTGTGTGGTAGGATTAAAAGCATGCACCACTATAACCAGTCAAGGATTTTATTTACTTGTTTATTTTTTGAGACAGGGTTTCTCTGTAGCTTTGGAGCCTGTCAGGGAACTCACTCTGTAGACCATGTTGACCTTGAACTCACAGAGACCCTTTTCTTTTCTTCCGGTCGCAGGTGCTTCGGGAGCCACCGATTACCGTCCAGCCATGGCCAAGTCCAAGAATGACACCACACACAACCAGTCCTGGAAATGGCACAGAAACGGCATCAAGAAACCCCGGTCACAAAGATACGAATCTCTCAAGGGGTTGACCCCAAGTTCCTGAGGAACATGTGCTTTGCCAAGAAGCACAACAAGAAAGGCCGGAAGAAGATGCAGGCAAATAATGCAAAGGCCATGAGTGCACGTGTGGAGGCCATCAAGGCCCTGGTGAAGTCCCAGGTGGTGAAGCCCAAGGTACAAAGGGCCCCAGCCGCAAACTCACCCGTCTGGCTTTAATTGCTCACCCTAAGCTTGGGAAGCGGATTAGAAGCTACATGGCCAGGGGTCGTAGGCTCCAAATAACAATGCCCAAGGTTCAAGCCAAGGCAGAGGCCTCAGCTGCAGCTCAGGCTCCAAAAGGTGCCCAGGCCCCTGTGAAGGCCCCATAAAAAAGGTCTCAGTCTGCCAATGTGAAGACAGATGGACTGGTGTGAACACCTACACAGTATTTGCAGATGTTCAGGACCTTATGCTGTTTTTACAAATAAACTTGAGGCAAGTTCTGTCAAAAAAAAAAATGTCTCTGCCTCCTGAGTGTTGGGATCAAAGGCGTGCGCTACCACCGCCTGGCCAGTCAAGGATTTTACTAGACAAAACACTAGGATACAACATATTTAATACTCACTTTTGTTCCAGGAGGCAATCCTTCTAGTCCTTTAGGCTCTATAAATGTGCGATGTTCTAACTTATGATCTGTTTTCTCCTTGCAGGTCAAAAATTGTAGTCTGCATTTTTGGCAACGATAAATTCCTTTATTCTGTTTATAAAAATTATTAGAAATGATATTAAAATTGTTTTCTTTTATGAGAAAAGTCTCATTATACACCCCATCTGCCGTTGAAAGCTCTGTGTTATACTTTATTGGTTTCTTGTGATCCTCCTGTTTCAGCACCCAAGTGCTAGGATTATAGGTATGTACCACCACATTCTAGAGTCACTAACAACTACCAACCACAAACCCTGAAATTTCTCTTTGACTTACATCTCTATAATTTTAAAAGCAACCATTTTACCATCTCCCATCATAGATAATGCCAAAGTATTTTTTTTCCTTTTTGGTGCTAGGGATCATATTTAAGCCTTTATGCTATCATTGGGCTACATGGAGCCATTCATTCATTCATTCATTTTTGAAGTATTGGAGATGAATTCTGGGATTTCATGTAGAATAGGCAAGCACTTTCATATATCAATGATTCAAATTTATATATTCTCTAGGAAATAGTAACTTCTCTTTCATGTACAGAATGAAACACAACACTATATGCTTCCATGTAAAAGTATCATGAAAGGGTCCCCCATTGTTATCCAGTATCACATGAGCAATCCTTAGATCATATACATACAGGTAACATTATATGGTTAGAGCAGGTTATATATTTAGGGGTGTGAATGTGTATGTTTGTGTGTGTAACAACAAATAAAGAAAAATAGGATATCAATGAGAGAGAACAAGAGGAGAGGGGTTATGGGAAGGGTTGGAGAGAGGAAAAGAAGTGGAAATAATAATTCAAAAAATTATTATACACTTAAAAAAATTTATTCCTTCCATATTTTTCTAATGTCTCAGTATATGAAAATTCAATTCTTACAGTAGCTCATAACAAACACCAGACTTGGTCACTCTTAACTCCTCTTTCTTACACATTAATACAACCTGTAAGTTATTGGCAATATGTTTAAATCACTTATCTTTCTATTTTTTCATTACTTCCAACCACTGCTACCATCCATACTAGTAAAAGCCATGTGTGGACTCTGAAAAAGGTTCCTATCTTCTCCTTGTTTCTATCTTTTAACCCCTAGTATGGTCATTCCTTCCCACAGCTGCTGGGGTGACCTTAAAATCATACATTTCTCAGTTGCTTAAATCCTTTGGTGGCAGAAAATGGCAGATCTCTGTGAGTTTGAGGTCAGCCTGGTCTACAAGAGCTAACAGTTCGAGGAGGGACAGGAGCCAAAGCAACACAGAGAAACCCTGTCTCGAAAAAAAACAAAACAAAAGAGTCCTTTGATGACTTTCCATTTACTCTCAGGAATCCTGACTCTGGCACACATGGCCTTACTTCATCTGGCTTGACTTCCATCTTCCATCACCACATCCTCAGCTACTACTTTCCTACTGCTGTCTTTCCCCTTCCTTTCCTTTCCTTCTTTCCTGTCCCTTCCCCTCCCCTCCCTCCCTTCCTTGGTTTTTTGAGACTTGGTTTCTCTGTGTAGTCTTGGCTGTCCTGGAACTTTTTCTGTAGACCCAACTGGCCTCAAACTTAGAGATCTGCCAGCCTCTGCCTCTCAAGCGCTGGAATTAAAGGTTGTGAGTCACACCTGGCCTTACTGCTTCTTTACTGTGCTTTAGCCATATTAACACTGTTGCTATTCCTCCAACATCCCAAATATATGCTCACCTCACTATCTAATGTACTTAAGTAATTCCCGCTGTTTAGAATATATTCTCTTTCTGATGGCCATATTATATATTGCCTTATCCCCTCAGGAGAGGCCTTTTTGACCAAATAATGTAAAAAAGAGCACCCACCACTTCACAAAAGATCTAGAAGTCCTAATCCACCTGCACTTTCTTCCCACTATATTTACTACTAACTGATATGTAAATCACACACACACACACACACACACACACACTTTTCCACATTATAGTACAAATTTCAGAGGGCAAAGGTTGCTTTTCTCACTTTAGCATTCCTAATATTTATATGCTATAAATTATTTGTTAAATAAATAGCAAGTTAGGCAGAAGAGAATGGAAAAATACACATAAGCACAGAACACAATTCATTGAGCTTAAAATGTCTGTTATTCCATTCAGAGTAGATTTTCCTAGAGGCCTGTGTTAGAGATATTAATCTAATATTAAAATTAACTAAACTTAAATTTTCAATGTCTTTCATGTGTATGTATGTTGCAAGGTACTAAGTAAGGTTGATGAGGATACAGGAATACCATGATATCCAACCAAAGAGACAGTGATATATGACAAAGGTTAAAAAAAGAAACACAAGGGCTGGAGAGATGGCTCAGTGGTTAAGAGCACCGGCTGCTCTTCCAGAGGTCCTGAGTTCAATTCCCAGCAACCATATGGTGGCTCACAACCATCTGTAATGAGATCTGGCGCCCTCTTCCGGCGTGTGGGCATACACGGAGGCAGAATGTTGTATACATAATAAATAAATAAATCTTAAAAAAAAAGTTTGCATTAAAAAGAAACACAAAAGGTTCCCTGTACTGAAATTTGACAAGCCACTATACTGTTTGATGAATTTAAAGGATTTCAAAGAGTAATATTAACTTTCTGTAATTTCTGCCTCCCTACCTATTATTGTGGATTTTGAGTCAGTGATAAAGTTTAGGCTCTGAATCAACTTTTAGCTGCCATTTGTTGGAGAATGTGATATTGGTCAAATTATTCCCTATAAAGCCTTGTTTTCCCTTCTTTTTAAAAAATTTATTTATTTATTTTATGTATGAATATTCTATCTGCATGTATACCTTTATGCCATAAGAGGGCATCAGATCCCACTGTAGGTGGTTGTGAGCCACTCCATGTGATTGCTGGGAATTGAACTAAGGACCTCTGGAAGAGCAGCCAGTGCTCTTAATCACTGAGCCAGCTCTCCAGCCCGTTTTCCCTTTTATAAAATGGAAATGATCATATACTTACTTCATAGGATAGCTGTTAAATAAAACGGACATAAAAGCATCACGGTTATTATAAGGCAAATGATTAGTAGTTGGCAATTTTACTACTAAGAAATTAAGGAAAATATTTAGCATATCTAAAAGCTTTAGTATTTCTTAAACATTATGCAAACTAATATTCCTAAAATTATATTCCTTTTAGGAAAATATTACATACAACAAAAATCTTAACAAATAATAATAAACTAAAAATTCAATTATTGTTAGTTTATTAATAATGTAATTTCCATTGCAAGACTAAAACTGCTCATCTCTGGCTTTCAAACTGAAAATACCTGAGAAATACATGATAAGCCTTATGAAAAGATTTTTTTCTCTTTCCTGTTGAATGTCTACCTCTTAAGTATACTAAACTTAATGAATGTCATCTTTCTTATATGAATTCTTTTTTTTTAAATATTTATTTATTATGTATACAGTATTCTGTCTGTGTGTATGTCTGCAGGCCAGAAGAGGGCGCCAGATCTCATTACAGAAGGTTGTGAGCCACCATGTGGATGCCAGGAATTGAACTCAGGACCTTTGGAAGAGCAGGCAATGCTCTTAACCACTGAGCCATCTCTCCAGCCCCTTATATGAATTCTTATATGGAATTCCTGAGCTCCAATGTAACGTCACTGGGAGGCAGAATGTTCAGAAGGCAATTAGATCATGGAGGCAGTGGGATAGTGTCCTTATAAAAGAGCTGTTTTGCCCCTTCTGCCATGTGAGGACACGGTGAGAACATGGGCATCTGTGAATCAGGAAGCAGGCCCTTACCACACCCAATTCTTTTGGTGCCTTGATTTTCAACTTTCCCTTCTTTAGAAATGTGAGAAATAAATATTTATTATTATTTGATCCAGTTCATTATAGTGGTACAGATGCCTAAATAGATGAAGAGAGTACTCATAGGATATCAATGATTTCCATAAGTATCCCAGGTTTGCTGATTCAGCCAGTTTTGTTTATTACAGTGAAAGAATAAAGAAACAGATTAAGGATAAAGAATACCAGGCACCAACCTCAAAGCACTCTCTTAGACCAGAGTTGTATTAATCCACCCAGAACTAAGTACTAAAAAGAGAAATGAAACTGTCTAGTGGAATAAAGGAACTAAGAATAAGGGGATAGGTGAGAAAGAGGAAGGTAGTAGGGAAGGAGGAGATATATAAAGACTAGGTGAGGCTGGGTGGTAGTGGTGCGTGTCCTTAATCCCAGCACTTGGGAGACAGGCAGGTGGATTTCTGAGTTCGAGGCCAATCTGGTCTACAAGTGCTAGTTCCAGGACAGGCTCCAAAGCTACAGAGAAACCCTGTCTCTAAACAAACAAACAAACAAACAACAAAGAAAGAAAAGAAAAGAAAGAGTAGGTGAATAAAAAATCAGAACTCAAGAGAGGAGCAAGCACTGATACTGGTATTTTAGAAATTATCAAGTACAACTAGCAAAAGTCATGGAGGAAGCAAGTTACAACCTAAGTATAGTTCCCTGACACAGTTTATAAATCTGGTAATAAGGGTCAAAACTGTTTCCTCTTTTAGCAGCTACCACTAGAAACCACCCTGGGTCACTGATGACAATTACTTTTCTTCTCATAACAGCAACAAAAAAATGGACAAGTGGAAAGATTTGAAGAAAAGCAAAACCATAAGGCTGTAAGTCTTTACGCTTTCTCAGTTAAAATCCTTTCCTATGCTCTTCAAAATTACCCACAAGACACAATGCCTAGCAATCTGGAATGCCAAAATATGCAAGTTATATTCCATTCATTTACTCCTCTCCCCTCCCCCCCCATTCTGTGGTTCCTATTTCTAGTGATAGCTTTCAGAAAGTTCAGATTATGGACCTTAGAATTACCTGAAAATAAGAAAGAAAAAGAAGTGAATGTTTCATAAATCAGCAATAAACTGTCAAACGTCGTTTGGAACAATTTTGTCTTCTTGGAATAAATTTAATGAATGTTCTAAGTCTGTATATCTTTTCCATAAAACAATATGAAGAAAGAAAGTTTAAATCTCACCTGATGTTTCATGTAATGATTCATATAAGGGGTTGCCATTCTACTAACTTTGAGACAAAATGGACACAGCAAGTTCTTAGTGTTCTCATGGGATGATCGAAAGTGAGTTTCTACATCAGAAAATATTGATGATCTAAACTGGCAAACCTAGAAATAAAGTTTATGTTCAATATAAAATTTTATAATTTGCATATAATTTACATCACATTAGCAGTGATAGATCATTGGTTTAGAAAAACATTCTGCACTAGGGATATTTTAAAACACAGATTTCATTCCTCTTTGCAGATCGATCATCCCTTATGTTGACTTTAATTTTCAAGCACTGATCCCACTCATTCTTTTTTCAGGCTAAGCCAGAGACAGTATATTTTTATGTTGCTGTCTTAATACTGGGAGTCACTTCAAATTCTGAAAAACCACTGGTCAAAAGATATTTAGTTCTCAAATATTTCCTATTTTCCAAAACATCTGTATTCTTCCCTGTATGATAAGTCCATCTTTGTCATTCTCCAGTTGGACAATTTCTATTACAGTAGTCAGAGAACTATGGCCAAGAAGGCCAAATCTAGCCCATTATACCCATGTATGAACAATTCCCAACAAATGGAAATCTCACTATAAACACAAAGGTTTTTCAATTTTAGTATGCTAATTAATTTTATTTAAATGCTTCAGAAATAAAAGGACACAATACTATTTAATGGCATGTAGACATTGAACAAACACTGAAGTATACAATAAATGTGTATACCTGGCAAATATATGGCATTTCACCAGGCTTATGAGTGTCCTTCATATGTTGTAAAAGCATATGCTCTGTTTCAAATGACAATTCACAGATTTTACAAATAGCTGAAAGAGAAAAAAAACATACCATTTTCACATGCATATGAAAACAAGATTCATTTTGTATAAATCATAACATCAAGTAATACAGTAACACTACTACTATGAGTAGTAAAAGGAACAGGTTCCCCCTAATAATCAGATAATCAAATTCATTAAAACTGTTACTTACTAGAAAAATCATGAGGAGTGTGTGTACTTTCAATGTGGCACTGTAGCTGAAAGGGGTTGGGATACTGCCGATAGCAGTGCTGGCATGTGGTATGGCTTTCCCAGGATTCACTGTTCTGTTTCTCATGCTCCAAGTGATGTTTCATGTGGTTCATTAACCTATAAATCAGAGTAAAATAGGTGCAAAATGCAGATTTATAACAACGAAAGGTTCACAAATAATTATCTGATCCTAAAAATTTTAAAATGTTGTTGCATGACTGCAATTCAAAATATTATATTTATGTCCTTAGAGCCAGCTTTTTGGGAAGTGACTGGATCCTGAAGGCTCTGATCTAATCAATGTATTAATTCAGTGGTGTAGTTGTAATAAAACAGCATCACTGGAAGGCAGGGCCTAGCTGAGAGAAGTAGATCATTGGATGCAGGCCCTAAAATGAGGGACCTTGCCCCTGGCACTTCCTATGCCTCTTAATTACCAAGATAAATGACTTTCCTTCACTATATCCTTCCTCCATGTTGATTCTGCCTTGCAACAGGCTAATCATGGACTGGAACCTCTGAAACCATGAAGAAAACAATCCTTTCTTCCTTAAACTGTTTCTCTTAGATATCTGTCACAATGTCAAAAATTATAATGCAGAAAGTATTATTTTTCTTGCAGTGTGTTAATCTTTGTAACACCTTCCATATGCTTAGTTTTACATTCTCATAAATGGGCTTCTTATGAGAAGGAACTTTGCCTTTCTGTGACAAAGCTTACGATATAAATGGGCAAACCTATTTTAAAGCCTTTACCAAACTGAATTTCAAAGTAAAATAACTCAATCAATCAAAACACTTTGGTGTAATCGTAGAGCTAGGGAGGCTAAGGTTGGAAGTAAGAGAAACAACAATCAAAAGCAATTTTAAGATTAGGTTGACTATTTATAACAAATCACTATGAGTCTCTATAAAAACCATCCTATAATTGAGTAATAATCTTATCAGTTTAGAGAACCAATCATCTCGGAGGTTTTGATCATTCATCTCCTATTCACACCCCTACCAAAGCACTCTTTATTTCTGCTTGTTGAGACAAAGTCTCATGTAGCCCAAGCTGGCCTTGAATTCATTACATAGCTGATGCCTGTGTTGAAATTCTGATCCTCCTGCTTCTACCTTCTGAGTGCTGGGATTACAGGCTTCAAAACACTGTTCTTTATACCTGGTTATAATTACATTCTACAATATCTACTTTTTTAGAGACAGGGTTTCTAGGTAGCCCAGGATGGTTTCACAATCATACAGTCTCAGCATCCTAGGTACTGGGATTATTGGCATTGCAGTTCAGTTTCTGTGCTCTCTTCTCAAGTTACTGAACCTCCCAATGCCTCAGGCTCTTTATCTATGAAATTAGACTGATAATACTCATGTCTCAGGATAATGATGAATATCTAAAGATTATCAAATAAATCCTGAAATCACCACATAACACATAAGTCATATGCAGTCTCACATTCTCATTTCAGGTCAGGAAAGGCAGAGACTGCAGATCCCCAGAATAAGGCGACTAGATACACTAGATTAAATGATGGGCACTGTGTTCAACTGAGAGACCCTGCCTCAATGAATGAAGGTGAGAGCAACTTAGGAAGGATTTTCTGTCAGTGTCTGACCAGACAAACACACACACCACAGACATATGTGAACTAGAGAGTAAGCAAGTAGATGAAGACAGAACAGACATCAGTCAGACACAGACCCACAGACATGTAGTCCTATGAGTAATGACAGAAGGTCACGTGTGCAGGGCACTGGAGATACAACTTCCCAGGGAATGCTGATGATTCGTGTGGATCTAGAAGGAGTCAGTTTTTTATTCCTCTGCAGACAAACAATCAATTCAAGGTATAATGTAGGTTTGAGTGTTAAGTCTAAAGCAATGAATTTTTTTTGGAATCAAACCTGATAGAATGTACCTATTATTTTAGGGGAGCAAACTTAAGATTTTTTTTTTCAAAAGAGCATTTTCCATGGAGGGAAAAAATTAATTGTATTCTAGGAAAAGTGAAAAAGAACTCAAAATATGTATGCAAAGAATTAAAAATATCATAAAAACAGATAATCCAATGAAATAGTAAGCAATATTTAAAGGGCATTTCACAAGACAGTTGTAGGCACTGATGAGCTTAAGGTTCTCAGCACCATTATTCATCTGGAAATTGCAAAGAACACCACAGTTCCAATGCCCACCCTCCTCATCTCAATTTCACATCACCAGATGCCTACTAGCATGGCTACAACAACAAAATCTAGCACTGACAAAAGTAACTGGATCCAATGAGAGAGTAAATTAAAATGTTCCCTTTACTGTGTGCCTGACAGTATTCCCTAAAGTTGAACACATCTGTTCCATTGCTTAGCAATGTAAATATATGGAGTACAATATCTTCTCTACTCTTTTGGTTTTAGTAGATGTCTGTAAGTTACTCTGAAAAGTAATCCTTGTTAAATATTTAAGCAATTTTATTATAAAATGTTGGGAAACTAGCACTGTTACACACATGAACTCACAGTAGTTGTGACTGTATGCACAAGGCCTATACAGGATCAAGCCAGTCAAAATCTCAGCATGGATTGAGAAAGAGTTCATGAAGTCCCATTCCTAATCGAGAAACTAACTGACAATTAATGGGAGCTGGTGGGACAGAAAAGTCAGTTTTCTTCAGGAATGTGGTCCCTAAAAGATTGCTCATGCTTCAGTGGATGGCCCTACATCGCAACACCAAACAGTACTAGGTGGATCCAGTAGATTTAAGGGAAAAAAATGACCTTGGGAGTAAAAAGTAGGGGAAAGAAATGGGGTGGAATTGATCAAAATGTTTTATATGCATATAGGAAATTCTCAAACAATAAAAACAGTAAGAAAAGGGCTACTAACCCATACTTTATTAGTTTCCCTAAAGCTGTACTGTATGTGTCTATAAAGTCTACAAGCTATGTGAAGATTTTACTGACTCATGTCTGTATTTGACAGAGCTCATAGCCCAATTCTTACAAATAGTAGTAATTTAGTAAATATGAATAGAATAAAAGAATGAATAAAATATCAGGCTTTAAGAAATATATTAGGTTATATTTGCAAAAAAAATTCTAGTGGGGGCATGGTGGTACATACCATTAATTTCACTACTCAGGATTAAAGCAGAGCTAGGCAGAGCTATGTAGTCTTGATGCCAGTCTAGTTTACACAGTGAGTTCCAGACTAGTCAGAGGTACACAGTGAGACCCTGTCTCAAATTTTTTTTCTCTAATTCAGGCATAGTTTAAAACCTTTAGTTCTAGCACTTGGGAGGCAGGGGGATCGCTGTGTATTTGAGGCAAGCCTGAGATACAATAATGAGTTCCACAACAGCCAGAGCTACTAAATAGAGAGACCCTGTCTCAAACTTTTTTTCCTCTAGAAAAATTTTAGAAGTATTAACAATAAATATCAAGAAAAATGTTATACACACACCAATTGGGAAAAAAAAGTCACTTACCACAAATACAAGGCTATAAAACCAATGAAAAAAAAAATCAGTCAATTGTCTTATTTTGATTTATTACTATCTTACTTATGATGATAAATATTCAACATGCCATATAATTCAGATAATAAAATATAAGTTCTTAAATTTTAAGATAAAAACTTACAAAATCTTTAGAATTTCAACCAGGCATGGAGGCACACACCTTTAACCCCATTAATCAGGAGGAAGAAGCAGGTACAGCTCTGAGTTTAAGGCCAACCTAGTCTACATAGTGAATTAGGATATATAGTAAGAACCTGTCTCAAAAAAAAAACCTTTAGAACTCCATTGTACATGTGTTATAAAAATTGTAAAGAAAAAAAAATCAAAGCAGACATGTTGTATACAACTTCTCTAAAGAAGATAATTTAAATATGAATAATTTTTTCCTAAGGTAAATATGTTGAAAATTATAACATGAGTTGAAAAAAATTGAGCTAGAATAAAAGTTCGAGCTAATATTGAAAAATAAGAATAGCATGGGAGATACTAGGCAGAATAAGGTAGTTCTTGTTATGTAAATAAATATAAAATTCAACACGACGAGAAAATAAATGTAGGGATTTGGTGACTGATCTTGGTTATCAATTTGATCATATCTGGATTAAGTAAAACCCAAGCTGCAACATCCGTGAGGGATTTTCTTTACTGTCATCATTTGAGGTGAGAAGACTCACCTTCTGATGGTAGTAGCTACATAAAAGGCTATAGAGTAAGGAAGACTGCTTTTTGCCTACTTTTTCTAGATTCCAACAAAGACTGAAGACTGGCAGCTCTCTAGGACTTCCTTGGGACTCTGACACCAGACTGGGGACTGCTGAGACATCTAGTCTTGTAGACCGAACAACTACCAAATCCTTGGCCTTTCCATCAAAAGACAGCCACTGTAGAACTACTTGGACCACAGCCTGTAAGCTACTCTAATAAATCCCTCTACACATATTTATATATATTCATGCCATCAGTTATGTTTCTTTAGAGAACTCTGACCAATACAGATTGGAATGTGGTGTCTAGGAAGAGAATGGACCTGAGAGGCTCATATGTTTGAATATTTGTTCCCAAAAGGGAGGAACTCTTCAGAAAGGCCTTGTTATAAGGGACGTGTCACTAGAGTCAGGCTTTGAGGTTTCAAAAGACTCCGGTCACTTTCAGTGTCTTGATCTCTTTCTACCTCCTATTTGTGGATAAAGATGTGAGTGCCCAGCTGTTCCTGATACCATACCTCTGCTTCACTTGAAACAATAAGCTCAAATTAAAACCTTGGCCATGGTGTTTTATCACAGCAATAGGAAAGTAACTCAGACAAGTGGAAAATATATTATTTTCCCCAAGTTACAGTAAATACTCTTGTGTTTTCTTAAGCTATCTGAAAAATTCTAACTGGGTAGACCCAGGTATAAAACTATGAAATATAAGAAAAAATAAAAATTTTCTTTTGTGGAATATTATTTTAACTGGGCAAAGATGTGTTATATTCGTTTATACTGCAGACTATTATTTTAACTGCATAAAGGTATGCTGTTTGTTTAATTATGAAAAGATGTGTGGCTGTTTCATTTTGCTTGCCTAAGTCACCTGATTGGTCTAATAAAAAGCTGAACGGCCAACAGCTAGACAGGAGAGGAATAGGCTGGTCTTCCTGGCAGAGAGTAAATAGGGAAGGAAGAGGGAGGAAAAGGAAAAGAGAAAAAGGGAGAAAAAGGAATATGCCTGGGACCAGCCAGCCAGGCACAAGCAGCGAAAGTAAGATTTACAGAAGGAAAGAAAAGGTAAAAAGCTCTGAGGCAAAAGGTAAAGAGAAACAGGTTAATTTAAGTTAAAAGAGCTTGCTGGAAAAGAGCCTAAATTAGGGTTGAGCATTGAAAACTAATACGTCTCTTCGTCATGATTTGGCAGCTGGTTGGTGGACCAAAAGAAAAGCCTGGTACAACTTTCAGCATAACAAATAGCCTTTCTTAGCAGAAATATTATGATGGTTTACCTAAGGATAGCAAAGAAAAATATATTTATACTAAAAGATCAAGATGCAAATTATTATTTCTTAATTTTCAAACAAAGTAATATTTACATACCTAATATTATTTTTAAGAACTTTCGAGCAACTGAAGCATTTAAAAGTTGTGTAAGTCTTTAGATCTTCCTCAACAGCTCCTTCATGTCTTCCATAGTAAAAATCACTAACTAGCACGATCAATTTTTCTTTATCCGAGCCAATGTTAGCTTTGTTTTCAGTCGTTGAATGTTCTGACTTAACAGTCTCCAAAAAGTTATTTATCATGTCTGGGCAGCAACGCTAAAAGAAGAGAAATAGTGTGTTTTATTTGTACTTCTTATAAAAACCAGACATCATTCTATATTTACAGTAGGTTCAGATCATATAAAGCTATGCTTAGCAATATATGATATATGGGAAGACATCCACCAAAACCATTCGCTTCTTTCCTTCTAAATTGCAAAAATTCCAACAATAAACACCATTTTAATGAAATAGCTTCCAAAATGAATGGAAAACTTTTAAAACTTTAAATTACCTTGTAATTTTTCTTTTCAGAGTAGGACTTATTAATTTGCTTTTTGAACACAAATCATAGATTTCATTCATATTAATGTCAAGATATAACTTAAAAGTCACATATATCATTTATGTATGAAGCTTAATTATCTAATGACATAGTAATATTTTAAGAAAGCATAGTTGGAACTAGACTTATGTGGAGAGTTGGTATGCTCTTCTCCTAACATAAAGTATGTCCCACAAAGAAAAGTTATCAGTCCTCAAAATCTCAATGTGTCCTATCTATAATACTTAAATATTTCATGGGGGAAATTTACTTTGAATAAAATCAGAATCTCATTTAAACTGATATAGTAAGTCTTTTCTCAATGGAAAAAATTAATTTTTTATTATATATAATTTTCAGTGGTAGAATTTCTCTAGGAGGATTCTCTAAGAATAACTGGAACAGAGAGGAAAGGTGGCTTAGCAGTTAAGAACATTGGACCTGGGGTTCAATTCTGAGCACCCACATCATCACGACTATAACTGTAGTCCTAAGGGGGCCAATGCTGCTTCTAGCATCCAGGAGTACCAGGCAAGTAAGCAGTGCACAAACATACATGCAAACAAAGCACCCAAACACATAAAATGAAAAAAAAAACATTTAAATAATAACGAGAACAAAATAAAATGGGAGAAAATGTTAGCAAATTCGAATTCTTTTAATTGTTAAGTATTTAAATTTTTATTTAAGGTGTTAGAAAACAACTGTGACTGGTCAGTGGTGGTGAATGCCTTTAATCCCAGCACTTGGGAGACAGAGGCAGGTCTCCCAAACTCTGTGAGTTTGAGGCCAGCCTGGTCAACAAGAGCTAGTTCTAGGTCAGGCTCCAAAGCTAAAGAAAAACACTGTCTTGGAACACAAACAAACAAAAGATAATAAATAAATAGTAAAAAAGAAAACAACTGTGAGAATTCTTATAATTCAGTAGCACAACAATAACAACTATACTAAAAATATCCTAAATCAACTTAAAAATAATCACATATGGTAGAAAAGGGACTTATGTATGAAAGGAGAAAAATTACTTTCAGAAAAACAAATGACCATATAATTAAATCTCAGTAAATGTTATCTATGCTGGATTTAATATATGTCATTGTTGACTGGATTAGCATTTTGCCATTTATGAAAGAATTTTACATTACTTATTGTGATGGCTAACATTGCTTGCCAATGTGACTAAATCTAGAATTAGCTAAAACCCAAGCAGCTAGGCCCACCTGTGAGGGATTTTTCTCAGCTGGATCATTTGAGGTGAAGACCCACCCTAAATCTAGGTTCTATCTCCTGGTGGCAGCTCACATAAAAGAACAAAAGAAACTTTTGGCTTTTTGCCTGCTTGCTTTCACTCTCACTGGTAAGTTTATTGATCCCGTTCCTGAGTTGTTCCCTTGCTTGTGTTAGAATCCAGTCTTTTGGGATTCCAATTTGGAATGCAAACTGGCAACTTGGTAGGCTTAGAACTCCTAATAAGAGACACTCAGTGAAGTGGATTGAACAACTACCGGATCTCCTTGACCTTTTCCTTAGGAGATAGTCGCTGTTGGACCACTTGAACCACAGCTCATAAGCCATTTTAACAAACACTTTTTAGTATATATTAATATATATTAAATATATAATTGAACTGAATATATATTTTCCTCACCTATCAGTTCTGTTATTTAGAGAACCCTGAATAATAAACTGATATAGTCTATTAGGAATTGCTGTTCAACTTCTTTCTATATCTATTTCCTCTTCTGATCACTAACCTACTAAAAATGTTATATTCTATTTTTCCCCATTTCCACATTCAGTTATTTCTACTGAGTTTCACTTTAGTTTTATTGTGATGCCTTTTACCTTTCATTAGTTCTCATTATTTAAATTTTCTAATAAAGATTTGGAAAACAAAAAAGGCAAAGACATTTCTTTTTAAAAAGACATACAAAATGAACAATAGATATGTGAAAAAAAACACTCAAAATCAGTAACTGTCAAAAATACAATGAGGTTTTGCCTCATTGGGATGGTTCTATCTAAAAGAGAAAAGATAAGTGGAGAAAGTCAATTCTTTTACACTGTTGGCGTAAATACAAAACAGTAAAATCAATGTGAAAAAATACAGATGTTCCTAAAAACAATATAACTATATGATCCCTCAATACCATACTGGGTATTTATCCAAAACAAGTGAATTTGGGATTTCAAGACAAATCTGCAGGCTCAAGTTCACTGTAGAGTTATTCATAGCCAAGATACAAAAGTAATATAAATCAACTAAAATTCAAATGACAAAGAAAATATGATGAATAGACAGTTTGGAATATTATTCAGCCTTAAGAAAGCAGAGAATTCTACTTATTCTCACCACATGGATAGACCTGGAAGACATTATATAAGTGAAATAGTTCAGTAACAGGATAAGTATTTCATGATTATATTTTCATGAGAAATATACAATAGTCTAAATAATACAGAAAGAAAGTAGAATGCTGAGTGCCATAATCTGGGAAAGTGGCAATGGATATATAGGTTTAGTTATTTAAGATAAATAGGCCCTAAAGATCTAATGTACAGCATTAATATGCATAGCTGACAACACTGAATTGAATGTTTAAAAATTTGCTAACAGAATAGATTTTGTTGTTATCACAGAAAATGCAAAATGGACAGGTGGAGGTTTCTGAAATTGGTGTATGCTTATGGTTTCACTTATGTCCACATACCTATACTACCAGTTAAATCTTTTACATCAATGACTGCAAATAGATCTAACTAAACTCCTGAAAGAAAAGGAGTTTTCACATAGGGTTAGAAAGAAAAAGCAACACAGGTAAAAGTTAGAAATATATAAATAATAAAGGGCTTTGGAAATATTGAAAATAATAGGATAAAGTAAGTACATAGCAAGTAGCTGGGTGAGGTAGTGCATGCCTTTAATCCTAGCACTTGGGAGACAGAGGCAAGTAAATCTCTGAGTTCAAGGCTAGCATGGTCTACATAACAAGTTCCAGAACAGTCCAGGCTACATAGAGAAACCCTGTCTCAAAAATAAAGCAATAAATAAATTATTTAGCAAGCAAATGGAAATAGGAAAATAAGAATTATGAGGGCCAGGAAAATGCTTCAGTGGGGAAAGCATTTCTGAACATGGGTGAAAAGCTGATTTTGGATCTCCAGAACCTAGAAAGGTCAGGCATGGTAACACACGCCTATAATACTATACTACTACATAAAGATGGGAGGCAGAGATTGGAGAATGTGGCATACCCAGCCCCCATCAACAAAGAGACCCTGTCTTAAACAAGGTGGAAAGCAAGGACTAAAACTTGAGGTTGTCCTTGGACCTCTACATGTGTACAGTGGGAAGTGCACACTTACACGCAAACATACAAATTTGCACAGACATATACCTACACATTTACATATGAACAATATAAATAAATTAAAATGCAATTTAGGCCAGAATGAATTAAACAAGGCAAAAGGATACCTTATTTAAAATGTCAGTGAAGTTATGAAACACACGCAGAGAAAAAGATAGAGGCATACAAAATAGAATTGTCAAACATCAAAGAAAGTACTAATGATGTGAGACTGGCTTCACTATTCTTACATGCTCAGGGACGTAGAGGGATTAACATCCAGGATCAGTTTTGTTCCCAGAATAGATACTGCATTTGAAATGTTGGAATTCATTCTTACTCTTGTACTTTTCTCCAAGGGGCGGGATTTAATAAAAATCTCTTTGGAACAGTAAGCAGAATCTTTCCTAAGATGCTTCTTTGCATTCTCCCTATCCTTCTTTTCCATGTCACCTATCTTACTTATTGTTTTTCTTGCCTCTTCACTCACTACCATTTACATGGGGCAGACAAAGAGAAGACGAACTGTCTTTTTTTTTTTTTTTGATTTTTCGAGACAGGGTTTCTCTGCAGCTTTTGGTTCCTGTTCTGGAACTAGCTCTTGTAGATCAGGGTGGCCTCGAACTCACAGAGATCCACCTGCCTCTGCCTCCCGAGTGCTGGGATTAAAGGCGTGCGCCACCAAAGATGAACTATCTTTAGAAAGATACAACAGAATACCATATTATATTATAAAATATTTTAATAGTAATCCCTCTAAATTCCATACTTTAGTAGCTTCAAATTTATCTAAAACCTAAGTTCAGGAGTTTGAAATACCAATATAAAGCTATAATTCATTAATAACTGTATATATCCTATTTTGGATTTAGCTAAAGCTATTATTTCATAAGAAATGTTTCATTAGGAAACTGTGGAAAACTAAGACACACAACTAAAATTTCCATTGAAAAATAGTAAATGAATATGACAACATGGAAAAATGTGTAAAATAGAAGGAAATTTTAAGTTATATTTTAGATTAATAAAACGCCTGCTTTATGAGAAATAAAAAGAATGGCACAATTTAGTCAATATTACGGTTTATGAATTTTCATTTAAAATTAAAAAGCAATGCACACATACTATAGAGTATACATGATCACATACGATGGTGTATGTAGGATGAACTTAAGTTTTATAATTTTATGATTGGGAAGAATTTAAATTTTGTATAATCATTATGAAAATTGAAAATTAATTTTTATTCATATGAAATTGACAATAATAGGTTTTTATTTAAATATATAGACAAACACTCTCTACTATTCTTACTATTTCTTGGATTTATAAACATTTTCAAAACTCAAAATTTGACACTATTTTACCTTCATGTGGCATTTCAAAGGATCCAAAAAACTGAACTTAACCTTGCACTTTGGACAAGATCTTAATGAAGGCGCTCCAGTTTCAGCCTGAATTGATGAGGTATTTTCATCTAAAATAAATTGAGGACTTTTATGAGTAAAAACTGATCTTTTAAAAAGCTTAAAAATCTTTAAAAAAATCCATCTCACAATTATTAAAATTTGTTTCTAACTAATACATTTTTCTACATGAGATTTCATACTTACTTGATAGTACAACCTGGGAAGAAGCCTCGGAAGGAGACTTATTTAAAGATGATGAAGAGGAAGGATTTGTTTCAGAAACACTTTCATTGGTCTTTGGCTTTTTTGGATTAACACTGTTTAATTTGGAAGTGGAAGGATGTTTTAATCCTAATGAAGTTTGTTCGATACCTACAAAGATTTGAACAGCAGGAAAGATTTATAAATGCTTTAGTACAGAATATTACTTATTTAAATTGCTATAAAAATGGCCTTAGATTTTAATATAGTAAAAACACCTTGGAGCTAACCTAAATGGAAAAAAAAATCATAAAGCAGAAATTATACAAGGAAGCAGCTTCATATATATTTCAGATTCACAAAATGAACTTTATGCAAGAAAACTATAAGGATACTTTCAAATAAAGCTATCCATTAAAGGAAGCAGGCTGAAGGAAAAAAAAAAGAAAAGCATAAATCACACAAAACCCAAAGCAACAATAACAACAATAATATAACAAAAAAGAAAGAGAGAAAAGAGAAGGTAAATAACTTTTTCTGAGCTATGCCCTTACAAATGAACTTATGTTCTGGTGATTAAAGTTATTTAAACTAAAAAAAAATTACTCATTCTAAAATCCAAGAGAATTTTTTATAGCTGTTTTAAAAATCTTGAGCTATCCAATCAAAGTTTTCTTTCTTATGTAGAAAATGGAAACAAAAATGCGTAAGTCAGCCGGTTGTGGTGGCGCACGCCGGTAGGATTTGCTGAAGGAGGCAGAGGCAGGAGGATCACGAGTTCGAGGCCAGCCTGGGCTACACATTTAAAAAAAATGCGTAAGTCATTTATATGAAAAAAAAAACTATAGTTCTCCAACTACTATACCAAGTTAATTAGACATAATGGGGATTCCTGACAGAGCCTTTCCTTTTATGTTTTATTTGACTTTTGCGACTGGGAGAAATAGTTTTGTTTTAACACTATTGTCTTAGCATCCAAAGGATTAGGTAATCAATGGCATCTGTTTGAGAAACAGCCACAGAAACAGAAAAAGTGATTTTATAAAATAATCCAAAATAAATTGTATTCTGTGACAAAGTCTGTAAAATCAAACATACGTTTATTTAATGTTCTCAAGTGTACATTCACAGAAGCAGTAGACATATTCTTGTCAAATTTATGTTTCATTCTTTGAGATGATGGAATTCTTTTTCCCATTATTAGAGACTATGTCTACTGAATGATTACTGCCAGCACATGAGACTGACTTTGGTTTTGTTACTTTAATGTTTCTTTTTTTTAAATTTATTTATTTGGTCCTTGGACTTTAATGTTTCTTTAAGATGCCTGTGTCACTTGGATAATCAATAAATGTTGGCATTTTGCACTAGGTAATATTATACAATATACCATGTAATAAAAATAGACCATTTTAATATAGCCTTTAAGGATGGATTTATTTTTATTAATTTATGCACATGTATGTTTGTGCATCTCTGTGAATGTACATTACATACATGTCTGCAGTGCCCAGAAGGAGGTATCAGATCTCTCAGAGCTGGTGTTTGTGCATCTCAGGGAATATAAACTACATGCATGTCTGCAGAGCACACAAGGTGTCAAGACCTCTCAGAACTGGTATTTGTGCATCTTAGGGATTATATGCTACATGCATGTCTACAGAGCTCAGAAGAAGGTGTCAGATCTCCTCGAGCTGGAGCTCCAGGTGGTTGTGAGCTGCATGACATGACATGGATGCAGGGAACTGAGCTCAAGTGCTCTTAACTGCTGAAGCATCTCACCAGCCTTATCTAAATTAAAGAAAATTACTCTTAAAGAGTTTTAAATACTGATCTTTCACGTTATTTATTTTTATTGCTTTGATCTTTGCTATTCCCTACTTTCAAGACTTCCTATTTACACAAATAAAAATAAGCAGGCGGCCCTAATTAAATCCAGTGGGTCACACAAGAAAAGTAAAAACAAAAAGTGGAATGGGGACTAGGGAGTTGGTGGAGGTGGGACGAGTATAGTGGTGGTGGGGGGAATGAGTGTGGTCAAAATGCATTACATACATGTGTGAAATTGTCAAAGAATAAATTGATGAAAAAGAATATTTTTGAAATTAATTTTTGGGATGGAGTCTCACTTTGTAGTTCTGGCTGTCCTGGACTTTGCTATGTAAACCACACTGGCCTTGAACTCACAGAAATCTGTGTGTCTCTGCTAGGAATAAAGGCATGCACCACCACCATGCCTGGCTAAAAACCAAAAAACTTATTCTCATAAAAAATCCTATTTCCCTTCTTCAAATTCAAGCTCAAATCTAATTTTCTCTGAGTTTTCATGGTCATCCTAGACTTCAAACGTTATCACATATTTGTGGTTATTATTATAAACTTTAATAAACCATTTAAAGTTTATAAAACAATTTCACTTTTCTTAATTTTGCAAACTCAATAAAATCCTAAGATGAATAACATTATTTACAAATGGCTCATATTAGGTCCAGAGAATGAATGTATTATGTGAGAAACAGAAAATAATATTTTAAAGTCAGGTAGTAGTGGTGCACACCTTTAATCCCAGCATTTGGGAGGTAGAGACAGGCAATCTCTGGGAGTTCGAGGCCAGCCTGATCTACAGAGGAAATTCAAGGACAGGCTCCAAAGCTATAGAGAAATCCTATCTCAAAAAACTAAAAAATAGGGGCTGGAGAGATGGCTCAGAGGTTAAGAGCATTGCCTGCTCTTCCAAAGGTCCTGAGTTCAATTCCCAGCAACCACATGGTGGCTCACAACCATCTGTAGTGGGGTCTTGTGCCCTCTTCTGGCCTGCAGGCATATACACAGACAGAATATTGTATACATAATAAATAAATATTTAAAAAAATCAAATTTAAAAAAAAACAGCTCATTGGAGCAAAAAAAACTAAAAAATAAATAAAAACAGTATTTTAATCAATGTGAGAAAAGTGACATAGATTAAGTTAGGTGACTTGATAAAGCCTATACAAATCTGTAGAACAGAGGTTTAAACTTTTATCTTTTAATCCAACTTTAACAGTGTTTAATATACAGGACAAAGCTCTCTTCTCTACAGTTTAAAAACCTTTGTTGAGACAGGGATTTATGTAGCTCATGCTGCCCTTGAACTTGCTAAGCAGCTAAGACTGGCCCTTGAACTTCTGATCCTCCTGGCTCTACCTCCCACGTGGTGGAATTTCATAAATTTCATATGTGTGCCACCACACTTAGTGGAGGATCTTTAAATAGTGAGTAGGAGTTAGTCTTTAACTTCTAGAAGCTTCACAAATTGAGATTTGTTCTAGGAATGAGACCATGTGCTTAGTAAAATCAAATTTAAGACAACTATTTTATTTCCCTATCAATTTTGGTTCTTGGTTATTTTGCTAACTGGACATAGGTTAATATCAAATGAAGTATTTAGCAAAGTGAGAAAATATTGTGACACTCAAATTACTTTAAAACTTTCCCTTTGGTTTGATAAATGTAATATACTACTTATTAGTAAATAAAAATTCAAAAGATAATTATGTTCCTTTCTAGTGAAATATATCAAATTAGCTAATAGAGAAGCTACTTTATTCCATTATAAAGAATTTCTTTTTTATCTAGGTAACATTCTTCTACAATTATATTATTTACATTCATTAAGATTTTGTCAAGGCAGAAAAAAATTTTTTTAAATGAATTTTATTTCAATTGTGCAATTTCTATTCCTTCAATGAATATATATTAGGTACTGATCATGTGCATATTATCTCTTTAGTTCTGCCATTTTATAATACCACTCTATTATGTTTAGCTATCTCACATGTCATTTATTATATAGAAAGTTTACCAAAATTAAACTAAAGCCATGCCAAACAATAAATATATTTTACACAGTATTTAAGTCATCAGGAGACTTCTCTGACTTACAGAAACTATATTAAGATTTCATAGCTCACAGACAGTTCTAAATGAGAATAAACTCAGGCAGGGATGGTGGTGAAATCTTTAATACCAGCACTCAGGAGGCAGAGGCAGGTGGATCTCTGAATTACCAGCCAGCCTGGTCTACAGAGTTAGTTATAGGACAGCCAGGGCTATACAGAGAAACCCTGTCTCAAAAAAAAAAAAACAAAAAAAAACCAAACAAACAAACAAACCAAACAAAAAACCAAAAAAACCCAAACCCAAAAACCTCAATTAGCACACACTAGCTAAACTAACAGAAAGAAAGGAGATAGTCCATTAAATAAGATTGCACATCTAAAGCATTCAGGAATGATAGCTCTATTTACATCTTATATCCAAAAAATAACACGAAGGCACTGATTTCAGAAGTATGTGTATGCATGTGGGTGTACTGTGGAGGTTAGAGGACAACCTGCCAGAGTCAGTTCTCTCATCTTATTGTGTGGGTTCAAAGATCAAACTCAGATCAGCTTGGCAATTGCCTTTGTTGAGCAATCTTTCTGCCTTTTTAAATCTTTATTAATTTGTTTACTTAGTGTGCATCTTTGGATGGCATGGAGTCGATTCTCTACTTTTACTATGTAGGTTCCAGGGATCCAACTTAGGTTGCAAGTTTAGCAGCAAGCACCTTTACCTGCTGAGCCATCTTTAAGCCCTTGTATAAAAATTCTATATGAACATTAACAAAGTCTCTTTTTGTAGAATTTTAAGAAGAAATACTAAATCAAACCTTCTGTACTCCTTTTCAGTATGCTGTAGGATGGTTTATCCTTGGTTGAGTCTAACTGTAAGATAGAAGCACCTGGATCATCTTGTGATGAAGTCTTTGAAAAACTCTGTAAAACGTTAAAGTTATTTTGTTAGTTATTAAAAAAGTAAACCGAATTGTATGCTAGTACTACAAAAATCAGTTAGAAAGCACAAAAGTAATTACTACCCTCTGCTAAAATGAGCACATACTGCGTGAAAAGCATATTGGCATTATTAAATATTTTTGTAATTTCTTTGGAAAATTAAAATTAGGTGTAAATAAAGTGTTAAAATAAAAAACAGTTATAACACTGGTAAGGTTTCATTTTTTGGTATAACTTCTCGGCAAGAACGTTTTAGCAGTATCTACTAAAATATAAAGGCTTTCAAAATCCATTATTCCTTGATATAATCATTCTACTTCTAAGAATTTGTGATAAGGAAGTGAAAACGTTAACAGAGCATTTATAAAAGCAAAACACAAAAACCTGTATGTTCAACAAAAGAGGAATAGTTCCATAAGTTTGACAGACTATTAAGCATGATAAACAATGAATGACAAAGAACTATATTTTTAATGCAATATTCAGTTAAAAATGAGGAATAGGCATTAAATATGTATAAATATGGTCATGACAGACTATACTATCTACAGAAAATAAAAATCAAAATATAATATATTCCCTTGTTTCTAATAACTTTCACATACATTAACTTTCATAATACAAATATTTTGTTTGCTTGTCTTATGCTTTCAAGCTGAGATAATTAAGTTGGACGAATTTTCTGTTCTTACTAAATATTACTTTTTTTTAAATCGAGAAAGAGGAAATGAAACAATTTCCCAATATAATCTTGCATAGCCTGGGACTGACTATGAAGAACAGACTGGCTTCTTCATCCTCCTGCCTCAGTTTCCTGAGTATAGCCATATGCCACCATAACTGGCTTCGTCACTAAATTTTCTCATCAGTTTGTTAGGAACTTAAAAAGACAGGTACTGGAGAGATAATGTCTCAGTGGATAAGAGTACTTGCTGCTCTTGCTGGGGACCTGTGGTTCCTGAGACCTGAACCACATATAGGTTTACAATTGAATACAACCCTAGTTCTAAGGGATCTGGAATCCTTTTCTGACTTTTGTAGGTACAAAACACATACATGGTGTGCATACATACACACAGACAAAAGAATTATGGAGACAGATACTGAAATTACCTAAAACAGCCAGGCAGTGATATATATATACTTAAATGTATGATTAGATATGTGTATAAACCCCTGGGCTAATATGGATTGAAATCCTATGTTTTGGTTACCAGCTGGCCTTCGGATAATCATTTGGCTCCTTGAGTTTCCGTCTCCTCAACCATAAATTGGGAATAGCCTCCCTCATAGGGATGTCCTAAGAATTATGTAAAAATTACATTTGCACATATCAACAGTTTCCCTCCAAATGTTAAACATCACTGCCATTTCTTACTTCTATTAAAAGTCTTTTGTTATTGTTTTGTGAAACAGTCATACTTTGTAGTCTAGCCTGGTCTGGAACTTACAATGAGGAGACTGGTCTTTTTTTTTTTTAAAGATTTCTTTATTCATTATGTATATAGTGTTCTGCAGGCCAGAAGAGGGCACCAGATCTTACTATAGATGGTTGTGAGCCACCATGTGGTTGTTGGGAATTGAACTTAGGATCTCTGGAACAGCAGGCAGTGAGTGTTCTTAACCGCTGAGCCATCTCTCCAGCCCAAGGAGACTGTCTTAAAGTCAAAATCCTCTTGCCTAGCTTCCCAAGTACTAGGACTACAGGCACATCAACAACCATGCTGGCTAAAATGTTTAAGAACTAAATAGTGAAAAGGGTTTTGACAATAAACAGTCACAATTTGTTGGAATAATCATCTCAATTAAGAACACCTAAGTTTACTCTCTTAAGTTGATTTCCTTTGTGTTTCCTCTTTATTTGATTCTTTCTTTAGCTGTACAGAAGCTTTTTAGTTTTATGAGGTCCCACTTATCAACTCAAAGTCCTTTCCTATACCTATATTACATCGCGTACTGCCTATGCTTTCTTCTGGTAGTTTCCATGTTTCAGGTTGCAAATTGAGGTCTTTGATCCACTTTGAGTTATTTTTTTGTGCAGGGTGATAGATATAGGTCTGATTTCAATTATCTGTATGTGGACATCCAGTTTTCCAGAACCACTGGTTGAAGATGCTGTCTTTTCTTCAGTGTGTTTTTGGCCTCTTTGTCAAATACTAGGAGTAGAATATAGGTTACTGGGGCTGGAAAGGGCAAAGGGGAATAGTCAAGACTTTAGTACAAAAAACTCTAGGTAAACACTAATGAATAGGACTGAGCTCCCAAGGTCCAAATAAGGAACAGAAGGAGGGAGAACATAAGCAAGGAAGTCAGGACCGCTAGGGGTGCATCCACCCACTGAGAGGGTGGGGCTGATCTAAAGTGAGCTCACCAAGGCCAGCTGGACTGGGACTGAAAAAGCATGGGATAAAACCGGACTCTCTGAACATGGTGGACAATGAAGGCTGATGAGAAGCCAAGGACAATGGCACTGGGTTTTGATCCTACTGCATGTACTGGCTTTGTGGGAGCCTAGCCTGTTTGGATGCTCACCTTCCTAGACCTGGGTGGAGGGGGGAGGACCTTGGACTTCCCACAGGGCAGGGAACCCTAACTGTTCTTCGGACTGGAGAGGGAGGGGGAGGGGAGTGGGGGGGAGGGAAGTAGGGAGAGGGAGGGAAAAGGGAGGGGGCGGAAATTTTTAATAATAAAAAAAAGTAAAAAAAAAACAAGCAAAAAATAACCTCTAGGTAACGTAGCTATTGGACTTGTAGTGTTGACTTTAATATATTGGGAAAACCTGCATATAAAGATCACAAAATATGCTACATAATTGTGAGCATAAAATAGTGTTCTTTAACACAATGAAATGATTTTGGCTTAAAAATAAAGCTAAGTGTGCTGGCTCATGTTTTTTAATTTCAGCATGCAGGAGGTAGAGGCACATGGCTATCTTTGTTTTGAGGTCAACCTGGTCTACATACTGATTTCCCAGAGAGCCAGAGCTACATAGTGAGATCCTGTCTGGAAAAAAACAAGCAAAAAAGAAAACCTAAAGATAATGACATTTTCTATGAGTAATTATGTTAGTTAGCTATGACCATTCTCCATTAAAGCTGGATATATACTATCCAATGTGTTCCTGAATTAACTGTGAAGTTAAAAATTACTTACAGGTTTAAACACAGTCTGAACACCAGAATTCTCTGAAGATTTGGATTTAGGATGAAATCTACGCAAAGCAGCCACTGGATTATGTAATGGATTTTTGTAGTGTCGATTTGCAGGTCTGAATATATTAGAAATAGCTAAACATAAAGAACAAACAAAAAACAATGTAATGAACATATTGGTATACAATTCTGTCAAATAGGTGAGTTTAAAATTGTAAGGGCTTAGCCATTAAGTATACCCACTGCTCTTGCAGTGACCACGTTCAGTTCCTAGCATCTACATCAGGTGTTTAATAACCACATATTAATTCCAGTTCCAGGGGATTTAATGCCCTCTTCTACCTTTCATGGGCACCTGCACATACATGGTGCACAAAAACTTACACAGGCACAAATACATACACATAAATAAAAAATTAAACAAATTTTTGGCATTAAGAGAGTATAGTAATACTGTACCTGGATTGAGTGAGTAATTCTTTAGTCCCTTTGAAGATGAACCAGGGCTACATCTATTCAAAATATCTACAAGAACATTTAAAAACTCATTACTGAGATAAACTACATAAAGATTATGGAAAACTGTCTAAAATAGACATATACAACCAACAGTAGAAACATATTTATTCCCCTTAATGGTTATAAGATTTTATGACTCAAATTCTTGTTAGTCAAAAATCAAGCCCATGCACATTCCTCATCCATAGATATCTGGAAGTTTCATTATGGACTAGCTGACTGGCTTGCTTATCCCATAGGTGATGGTGTCACCCCTGGGTGGTATAATAAAATAGCAGGCTGAGCAAACCTTGAGGAGGAAGCCAGAAAACAGCATTTCTCCAAAGCCTCTGTGTCAGTTATTGCCTCCAGGTTCCTGCCCTGTTTGAGTTCCTACCCTGACTTCCCCCAATGATAAAGTACAAATTGTAAGATGAAATAAATCCGTCCTTGCTTATTACTTGAGCTCAGAAAGGAAAATTATCAGATAACACATTAAGTTAAACCTAGATTTTAGTATATGATTAGTTTCAGAGGTTAAATACACTATAAGTCAATTTGGGTCTGACAGGATACTCTAGACCATTTCAGACTGCTATCTCTTGTCCCCATATGAAGTTAATTTTATGGTTACTGAGGAATCATATTTAAATTCAAAATTTTATCTTTTTATTTTATTTTTTGGTTTTGTGAGACAGGGTTTCTCTGTGTAACAGCCCTAGCTGTCCTGGAACTAGCTCTGTAGATCAGGCTGGTCTAGAACTCACCAGAGATGCACCTGCCTCTGCCTCTGGAGTGTGGGATTAAAGGTGTGTGCCATCACCACCCAGCTTAAATACAGAATTTTAAAATCTGATTAAAATTTCTTATCACAAGAAAATGATATCTAAGTTATGGTTCCTACTGCTGTTGAAAAAAACACCACGACCAAAGGCAACTTAGAAAAGGAAGGATTTATTTCATCTTACAATTTGTACTTTATCATTGAGGGAAGTCAGGGTAGGAACTCAAACAGGGCAGGAACCTGGAGGCAATAACTGACACAGAGGCTTTGGAGAAATGCTGTTTTCTGGCTTCCTCCTCAAGGTTTGCTCAGCCTGCTGTTTTCTTATACCACCCAAGGGTGACACCATCACCTATGGGATGGGCCCACCCACATAAATATCAGTTAAGACCATAGGCCAATTTGGTGTGGGTATTTTCTCAATTGTGGTTCCTTCTTCACTATCCTACCCGACCAACAGACAGGACATCCAGACAAAAACTACACATAGAAATGCTTGAGTTAACTGACTTTATAAGCCAAATGGACCTAACTGATATTTACAAAACATTTTACCAACACACAAAAGAATATTAATTGTTCTCTGCACCCCATGGAACTTTCTCCAAAATCTGACATAATGAAAGCGGTTCTAAGGACAATTTCATAGCACTAAGTTCCTACATTTAAAAAAAATAAAAGGAAGCAAGGAAGTCAGGACCGCGAGGGGTGCACCCACCCACTGAGACAGTGGGGCTGATCTAAAGTGAGCTCACCAAGGCCAGCTGGACTGGGACTGAAAAAGCATGGGATAAAACCGGACTCTCTGAACATGGTGGACAATGAGGGCTGATGAGAAGCCAAGGACAATGGCTCTGGGTTTTGATCCTATTGCATGTACTGGCTTTGTGGGAGCCTAGCCTGTTTGGATGCTCACCTTCCTAGACCTGGGTGGATGTGGGGAGGACCTTGGACTTCCCACAGGGCAGGGAACCCTAACTGCTCTTTGGACTGGAGAGGGAGGGGGAGGGAAATGGGAGGCGGGAGGAGGTGGAAATTTTTCAATAAAAAAAATAGAAACTTGAAAAAATGGAGAGTTTGTACTAGTCACTTACCACTACACTAGAAAGCTCTGTAACAAAAAGAAAAAATTACACTCAAAAGGAATAGATGGCAAGAAATAATCAAATGAGGGCTGGAATCAATAAAACAGAACAAAAAATACACAGAATCAATTAAATAGATCTTAGAGAAAAATCAGTAAGATTGGCAAACCTCTATTCAAAGTAACTAAAATGTGGACAGAATATCTCAGTTAACCAAATTAGAAATGAAAAGGGGGTTATAACAACAGGCATCGAAGTAATCCAAAGAATCATAAGGATATACTTTAAAAAATCCTACATTCCTCAATATTGGAAAATCTAAAAGAAATGGATAATTTTCTTAATAGATACCACTTACAAAAGTTAAACCAAAGTCAAATAAATAATCTAAACAGACCTATAACCCCTAGTAAAATAGAAGCAGTAATTAAGTCTCCCAACTTCCTGTATCTCCCAAAAAAGCCAAGGGCCCAGATAGTTTTAGTGCAGAATTCTACAAGACTTTCAAAAAAAAGTTAACACCAATACTCCTCAAATTGGTCCATGAAATAGAAAGAGAAGAAACTATTCTTTTTAGGCCAGTTACCCTGATACCCACCAAAAACATAAAAACCCAACAAAGGAAATTACAGACCAATTTCCCTTATAAACATAAATGCAAAAATTCTCAGTAAAATACTTGCAAACCAAATCCAAGAACACATCAAAAAGATCATCCACTATGATCAAGTATGCTTCATCCCAGAGATGCAAGGATGTTTCAACACATGCAAATCGATAAACATAATCCACCAAATAAACAAACTGAAAGACAAAAACCACATGATCATCTTATTAGATGCTGAAAAAGCCTTTGGCAAATTCCAACACACTTCATGATAAAAGTACTGTAGAGATTATGGATAGAAGAAACATACCTAAATATAATAAAGGCAATTTACAGCAAGTCCATAGCCAACATCAACTTAAACAGAGAGAAATATAAAGCGATTCCACTAAAATCAGGAACAAGACAAGGCTGTCCACTCTCTTCATACTTATTCAATCAACATGGTACTTAAAGTCTTAGCTAGAATAAGATAACTAAAAGAGATCAAGGGGATATAAATCAGAAAGAAAAAAGTCAAAGCATCTTTATTTGCAAATGATAAAATAGCATACATAAGTGACCATAAAATTCCACTGGTAAACTCCTATAGTTGATACACCTTCACCAAAGTAGCTGGATACAAGATTAACTCAAAAAATCAGTAGCCCTCCAATATATAAATAACAAATGGTCTGAGAAAGAAATCAGGGAAACAATACCTTTCATAATAACCTCAAATATAAAATATCTTGGAGTAACTCTAGCCAAACAAATCAAAGACTTGTATGGTAAAAATGTTAAGGCACTGAAGAAAGAAACTGAAGAAGGCAAGATCTCCATACTCATGGATCAGCAGGATTAACACAGGAAAAAATGGCCAGCTACCAAAAGCAAGGTACAGATTCAATGAAATTCCCCTCAAAATTCGAACATGATTCATCACAGATCTTAAGAGGATAATTCTTAGCTTCATATGGAAACACTAAAAGTTCAGGATAGCTAAAATAATCCTGTACAATAAAAGTATCATTATCCTAATTTCAAGTTGTACTACAGAGGTATAGTCATAAAAACTGCACGGTATTGGTACTAAAACAGACATGTTGATCAATGGAATTAAAGACCCAATATAAATCCACACAACTATGGACATCTGATTTTTTATAAAGAAGCCAGAAATACACACTGGAAAAAAAGAAAGCAACTTCAACAAACAGTGCTGGTCAAACTGGATGCCTGTATATAAAAGAATCCAAATTTATCTATACTCATTACCCTGCACAAAACTCAACTCCAGGTGGATCAAAAACATCAAAATAAATACACACTGAACCTTATAGAAGAGAAAACGGAGAATAGAAAACTTCCTGAAGAGAATACTGTTAAGCACGGGCACTAAGATCAACAAATAGTTAAATGGGACCTCATAAACCTGAGAAGCTACAATCCATAGACCCACAGAGGTTAGGTATAATCATAAGTGACTGGAGGGTGGGGGCACAGACTAATAAGGAATGAAAAATAAATTATGGATGCATAGGAGGACTAGAATGGGAGGATCAAGCAGGGATGGGCAGGGAAGTGGGAGATGAGGGAGGAAATATGGGGAAAGAGAGCTAAAATCAAGGGCCATTTGAGGAGTTATAGGGAAGCCTAATACGGTAGAAGCTTCCTAAAATATATATGTATAATGAAGAGGATCTAAATAAAATCATCAAATAATGGGTGAGACAGAGTCCCAACTGGGTATCTCTTGTCACTAAATGGAAGTTTCCAGTACTGGAGCTGGGTTAAATCTAAATGAGTTGTCGGCCTAAGGGGTCCCATGGGAACCCCCAAACAACCCAGATTGTTGCCAAGACAACAGGATGCTCTTCACAAACTGACAGCAAGGACCCACTGCTGAAGACAACATCTACACAACTAGAGTTGATGAACTGGTGCCTACATAGAGCCTTCATCCCTACATTCCAATGTCTTTGGTACAGGAACATACTCTACATGCTCTCAAAAGAGAAACATAAACACCAATCTAGCCACAAACCCTCTATTTACAATGGGGTACTGCCTGCAAGATATGCTAGGGTAGTGGTGGCACAGAGCTCGTGGGAGTAACCAAATAATTCCTGATTTGATTCAAGATGGAACCCATGTCTGATACTGCTTGGGTGACAAAGAACCTGAAAGTAGATAGCCCAGGGACCTATGGTAAAAGCAAACACTACTGTTCTAAAACAAACAAAACAAACATACAAGAAAGTACAGGAATAAAATGACTCTTAATGATATTCTGCTATACTCATAGATCAGTGCCTTGTTCAGCCATCATTAGAGAAGCTTCCTCCTGCAACAGGTGGAAACAAATAAAGAGACTCACAGCCAGACATCACGCAGAGAATGAGAGACCTTGGGAACACTCAACCCTAAACAGGATGTCTCCATCAAATTGCTCCCCTCAGGACTCAGGGAACCCTTGGGAAGAGGAGGCAGAAAGAGCCAGAGGGGACGGGATTGAGGACACCAAGGGAACAAGGCCCTCTCAATCAATAAAATGATGCACAGGACCTGCACATGTCTACACCAGATGGAGTCCTAGAGCTTTAAGGAGAAGTGGACACATGTTCCCACCCCAATCCAGCAGCATTCTCCATTTGATAACCACTTGCAAATAAAAATCTAGTTTTCTCCAAAGGAGTCTCACTGGGGAAACTAACTACTCTTAAGGCTAGGCTGCAATCCCTGAAAATGATCTCAACACATATTTGGAGGTTCCGTATTTCATAATGCTGTGTCAGGGCTCTAGCTTTTAAAAAATTTATCTTATTTTTTTTCATTTTATTTTATATGTATGTATATATTTTTCCTTCTCTCTTTTTAATCCTACAGGTCCTTTGCATTCATATTATAGCTTCCAGTTTAGTGTTTTTTGTGGGATGCTGAAGTATGTGAATGAGTGGGTCTCTACATCTATATCTGTTTCTTGTGCCTTTTCGGGGATCTTTCTTCTGTTTGTTTATGTTGTCCTATTAGGATGTGTTAGGGTTTTTTAAAATCTTACTTTATTATTATCCTTTAGAAGCTTATTTGTTTTCTAATGAAAGACAGAAAGGGGTGGGTCTGGATGGAAGGGGAGGTGGGAAAGATCTGGGAGGAGTAGAGGGAGGGGAAAACATAATAAAGCTAAATATTATGTAAGAAAAATATCCATTTTCAATAAAAGGAGCCTCCCACACAAACAAACTAGAGCAGCTGGTGAGATGGCTCAGTATTAAAGGTGCTTGATGACCTAAGTTTAATGCCCAGGACCCATATAGTAGGGAAAAGAGAAACCCATTTCTCCAGGTTGTCCCATTACCCATGGGTGTATTATCTCTCTCTCTCTCTCTCTCTCTCTCTCTCTCTCTCTCTCTCTCTCTCGCTCACACACACACACACACACACACTCATGCACTAAAATACATGTGACAAAAATATTTTAAAAGTAGGCTCTCTATCATATAAGACCTATAATGCATTCAGGTAATCTTAATCCTTAGTTACTTTAATTATTCCCTCTTTTCTTACACACGCTATTTTAAGTTCTCCCCTTCATTACTGTATCTAACCACTGTAGTGTTATTTTGTTTGTTTTAACAAATAAAGCTAGCCTGAAGATCACAGTGCAGAGCTAAGCCACTAGTTAGCTGTTGAGGCCAGGCAGTGGTGGCACACACCTTTAATCCCAGGATTTAGGAGACAGAGACAGAGGCAGACTGATCTGTTAGTTCAAGGCCACCCCAGGCTACAGGAAACTGATTCAGTCTAAAAGAGAAACAGAGCTCACACAAAGGTTATCCTAGCACTTGGGATTCCATGCCTTTAATCCCAGCACTAGCAATGTAGAGATAAGGGTGATATGGCTGGGCAGAGAGAGGACTGTAAGGCTGGAGGAGACAGGAGCTCATTGCAGTCTGAGGATGTATTGGTAAGAGGTAGGAACTCTAGTGGGTGGCTGCTCTGTTTCTCTGATCTTTCAGCTTCTACACCCTGATAGCTAACTCTAAGGTTTTATTATTAAGAACAATTAGAATTTGTGCTACAAACTACATTGTCACCACAAACATCTTAAGTGCTCACTGACCGTTACTGTGCTTTCCTTTTTAAAAAAACTTTGTGTGTTTGTGTACATGCATGGTCATACCGTGTGGGTATATATGCATGTGGGAGGCCCAAGGCATCAAGATGCTGGCAGTCTTCCTCAATCCTTCTTCACTCTATTTACTGAGGCAAAAAACTAAACCTAGATTGGCCAAAAAGGCTACAAACTAGCCAGTCACTTTCTTCCAGGGATCTCCCCCTCTCTGCTTTCTAAGATTTGGGATTACAAAAAGGCAGCCATTTTACATGGCTTCTGGTTATCCAAATCCCAGTACTCATGCTTGTGGCTCACATGACAAGTACAGTAACTGCTAAGGCATTTCCCTAGCCCTATCTTGCTTTTCATCTAAGCTCTGTACAGAACAAATACATCAAGCACTAAAAATAAAAGTCACAGGTTTTTCCCACTCAAAAAACCAACAACTATCATAAGAATCTTCACTGAAATAAATGCTTACTTGAAATAGCTGGTTTGGAACTTGATATCTCTCCAACAAAGATCAACTCATCATCATCATCGTCTTTATTTTGAATTTCGTCTACTTTCTGCTGCCATGGTTCCAACTCTTCTTCTTCACATTCCATAACAAGTTCTGCCATTTTTGAATTATCTAATTTCCTAAAGGAGAGAAACCCATATTTTCAAAAGGAAAAAAAACTTTTTGTAACAGGAAGTATGATAATTAAAGATAAGTTTTATTAATCTTAAAGGAAATTACTGAATAACTACACATAGCAAGAATAAACTGAGAAAGCAATTTATATATCTAAACTAAGCACTCAGTGTAGTAGTATACCCCTGCAACCCTACCTACCATTCATTCAGGAGGTTGAAGTAACAGAATAGTTATTCTGAGGCCTGTCTACTCTACACAATGAAGCCCTGTCTCAAAAACAAAGCTAGTAAAAAATGGCTAAGTAGCTAGAAGATTGGGGACAGCAGTTGAGTTACAGTGGCCAAAATTTTCTTTTTGTAATTTTTGCTTTAAATATATAGATGTTTTGTTTGCATGTATGTCTGTGTACCACATGTATGTGATACCCCCAGAAGCAAGAAGAGGGCATGAGATCATCTGGAACTGGAGTTCTTTGGCAGCCATGTGGGTTCTGGTAATCAAACTGGGGTCCTCTGGAATAACAACCAGTGCTCTTAACTGCTAAGCTATCTCTCTAGTCCCAGGTGGCCAAAAAATTAAATCCAATCAAGCTAAGTTTATATTACATGACTAGGATATTATACATACCAAAAAGAATATTATATAATTATTACCTGAGACAAAAGCCTACCACTTGTGTTTATAAACCAAGCATAGGAGGCAATTAGATTGGAAGAAGGAAAAAAAACTGCATCAGATTCAGAAATATTAGGGTAAAGAAGAAAAACGAGATACTAGGATGAAAACAGGGAAAAAAGAGAAGCTTATTTTATTCCAGGATAGAGTAAACATTTTCTATCTCAAGAAATTAAACAAAGGACGTACTACAAATATTACACAGCTCATAGCAAACATTTTAGTGCCTTATTCCTTTGGGGATGTTGTTGTTTTGTTTCTGTGACAGGGATTTTCCATGTAGTTTGGGCTGACCTGTCCTGGAACTCATTATGTAGCCTCAGGCTGGCCCCAAACTCATAAATGTCCTGCCTCAGCCTGAGTCTTAGGATTTCAAGTGTGTGCTGTCATGCCAACTCAGTACTTCATTCTTAACATATGGATATAAGCTAGGCATGGTGGTGTATACCTTTAGTCCCAGCACTCAGGAGGCAGAGGCAGGCGGATCTCTGTGAGTGCAAGGCAAACCTGGTCTACACAGTGTATTTCAGGGTAGCCAAGGACCTGTCTCAAAACAAAAACAACCATAAAACAAAGAAATAGCTGGAGAGATGACTCAGCAGTTAAGAATACTCGCTGAGGATCAGGGTTCATATCCCACCAGTGATACTAGGGCTCACAACTACTTATAGCTCCAGTTTAAAGGGATTTGACCCCCTCTTTTGATCTCTGAGAGCACAAGGCAAATATATGGTGCCCATACATAAATGTAAGCAAAACTCATAAAATAAATACATCTTTAAAATAATCTAAGAATAAAAAAATAACAAAAATGGTTATGAATAATTAATGAACACCAAAATTTTGAGGAAAGTCTCTAATGTGAAAGACCAAAGCAATAAAACAGATTAAAAGATATAAACAAAAACAGATAATACAGAGGACAGGAGAAAATGATCTTTTTTTAAAGATTCAGTCAGTCAGTCAGTCAGTCAGTCAGTCAGTATCCTGCCTGTAGGCCAGAAGAGGGCACCAGATCTCATTATAGGTGGTTGTGAGTTACCATGTGGTTGTTGGGAATTGAATTCAAGACCTCTGGAAGAGCAGTCAGTGCTCTTAACCGCTGAGCCATCTCTCCAGCCCGAGAAAATCATCTTTTAGAGACATCTGACAAAATTTAACAAACAGGGGCTAGAAAGGTAGCTCAGCGAGTAAAGGTGCCTACTGCCCCAGCCCAATGACCTGAGTTGGTCTTGAACTCAGAGATCTACCTTCCTCTGCCTCTTGAGCAGTGGAATTAAAGGCACGTGCACCCAGCCTCTAAATTTTTTTAAACTGGGGGTTATTTACAAGCTCATGAGCAACTTATGGAGGGTGACTTCACTACTGAAGAAAAAGTCTCTTCACCTAGCAAGTGGTTTCTTGAGGCCCATCCCCCCATGCAAAAGCTTTCAGTCTGTTTGGAGATAGGCATGAAGCATTCTTCCAGAAACAACTGCCTGGAAGTCTTGAAGAGGGTTGGGGCCCCTAAACCTGTCCCCTACTAATTATTTACAAATTTTGGCTAGATCTATGGCCTCTGGAGCTCATTCCCCTAGTAATTATTGTCTAGAAAACCTTGGGAAGGGCAAGACCTCATCAGGCCAAACTCGACTGTGAAACTTTTAACAGTCCATAATTCCTTGAGGAGGGGCAGGGCCTCATGAGTCCTCCTCTTAACAACTGTTAACCCCACCTCCCATCAACATTTTTGGTTTTATACTTAATTGTGAGGGCCACATCCAGTCAAGTCTCTCCTTCCACCATGTAGGTCCCAGGGATTGAACTCAGATCATCAAGCTTGGTCCTACTGAGCCATCTCACAGTCTCACATCACATCAATATTTAATTGCCTATAAATCCTTGGGGAAGGATGTGGCCTCATAAGCCCCCTCCTTTACTGTTAACTGTCTATAATTCTCAGGGAAGGATGTGGGATCATAAGCCCCTTTCCCATTCCATGAAGAAAAATTAATGGACCCAATCTTATGTAGGTCTCCTTCAGGAAATCATAGCTGCTGATAGTTGAAGAAGGTAATGGCTACATCATTCCCAGAGAACACATTATTCCATAACAATTGGCTAATTGTAAGTGAAGTTATAGGATAGCCTGGAATACATGAGATCTTGTATAAAAAAAATTAAAAAGAGAGTATGCAAGATGGCTTAGTGGCTGCCAGGTGGTAGCAGTGGCACAGGCCTTTAATCCCAGCACACAGGAGGCAGAGGCAGGTGGATATCTGTGAGTTCGAGGTCAGCCTGGTCTACAGAGCTAGTTCCAGGATTGCTAGGGCTGTTACAATGAGAAATCCTGTCTCATACCCCGCCCCCCCCAAAGGTTTAGTAGATGAAGATGCCTCTACCACTAAGTCTGACCACCTGAATTTGAGTACCAGTACACATAGCAGGAGAGAAATGACTCTCACAAACTGTTCTCTCACTTCCTCATGTCACATGTCTGAGCGGGCATGTGTACAAGCACACACCCACATTAATTTTTTTTTTAAAGGATGGGGCAATAGCTCAAGCAGTAAAGTTCTTGCTCTTCAAGCATGGGACCTGAGTCTAATATTGCTAGAATCCATATAAGAATGCTGGGCATAAAAGTAAGCACTTGCAATTCCAGAAGTGAGGAGGCAGAGAAAGACAACTGCTTGCAGGACTGTCATAGTCAGTAACCTCCAGGCCAATGAGGAAATCATGTCTCAAGGAAGGGGACAGCATTCTTGAGGATGGCACCTGAGGTTGTCCTGTGGCGCACACACACACACACACACACACACACACCTGCACACACAAATACACAATGAATAATAAAAAATTAATGTAAACTAGGCATGGCTTCTCACAGCTGTAACCCCATCCCCAAATGGGGACTATGAAATGTACACATCATCTAATACTTTCCCAAATTGGCTTATTCCTGAATGAATGTAAATTTAGCAAATAAACTCATGAATATTTTAAGTAATTACTACCTGAAAAATAGTATTTTAGAATTAGAAATAAAAATTAAAAGGTATGCCACATAAAAACATAATTATCTAGTCATGTTTCAATAAATATTAATTTCAATGTAAGTGATATCTTTATTTTGGTTTTTCGAGTATAAGTGATATCTTTAACTAGGACTTATTCTTTATACTTTAGAAATGAATGCTATTATTACTATAATAAGGTACATATAAATACTTTGCTTATGGACCTTTTTATCATTTCTAACTGAAAAGTAAAAGAAAATTACCTAAAGTACTTCATAGATTAATTCATTACCAAATTTCCATTACCCTCTATACTCTAGAGGAAAATAAAGAATAAAATGTAGTCCCATTCTTCAGAAGTTTACAATCTAATTTGTTTACAGTATTTAGACTTTTATCTTTGTGGTGTTGGCAATCAAATTTAAGATTTGACATGTGGCCTTTAATCCCAGCACTCAGGAGGCAGAGGCAGGCGGATCTCTGGGAGTTCGAGGCCAGCCTGGTCTACAAGAGCTAGTTCTGGGACAGGCACCAAAGCTACAGAGAAACCCTGTCTTGAAAAACTAAAAAAAAAAAAAAAGATTTTACATGTGCTAAGCAAGTGCTTTTCTATAAGCAACATCTTGCAGCCTTATTTGGACCTTTAAAAAAAAAACCAGGTGTTGGCCGTGAAGTGGTGGCACATACTTTTAATACCAACACTCAGGAGGCAGAGGCAGGTGGATCTCTGTGAGTTTGAGGCCAGCCTAGTCTACAAGAACTAGTTCCAGGACAGGCTCCAAACCTACAGAAAAACCCAGTCTCAAACAAACAAACCCCCAGGTGTTACATTAAAATCAAAAATTTGAATTGCTTCATTAAAAAGAATTTTAAGTTATATCCTGAATTCTCATACACATACCATATACTCTACAAATTCTCTTTAAAAATAAAAAATTTTAAAAGCATCTTAGTTATAGCTAGATGTGGTCACATTCAAATGTAATCCCAGAATTTGAGAGGGAAAAGAGGGAGAATCATGAGTTTGCGGCTGGGATAAGATACATAGGAAGTCAATACTATCCTGAGCTACATAGTGAAAGCCTGGCTTGAAAAATCAAAAGCTAGGTATGCACTTCAGTGGCAGAGTATTTGCTTAGCATGCACTAGAGCCTGAGCTTGATTCTTAGAACCGAGAGGAGAAAACAGATTGGTCTCAGCTGCTAAAATGCATCAGTTGAACTGCCACAGAGCCTGATTACCTAAGTTCAATTGCTGGAACCCACATAATGGAAAGAGAAAACTATACAAGTTGTCCTTCGAGAACGCATGCTCACACTGAGCACATGTG